TGTTTTTTTTTTTATGTGTCTGTTACCACTTTTTCTCAGCTCTCATCGAACCGACTTCTTTCAATGATACGTCAAAAGATCACAAATTGTATCTAGTCAAAGACTTATGCTCAAAAATTGAAAAAATTTCCCTCATTCCCCATAAATAAAAGAAATCTCCAAAAAAATTACAAATTTAAAAAACGCTAATTTTTGACATTTTTTTAAATAAATCTGACCCTTTAGCAGCCCATAGAGGGGATTTAAAATGACAACTTTTTCACAAAAAATTTACTTTTTCAACTTGACTTTTAAAAGTGTTTCGGGAAGTTTGACAATTTTATATATATCTTAAATTAAAGATAATGTAATATACTTTATTATGGAAAAAAAAAATTTCTGACTTCATTTTGTCTTCACGGTGAAAATGGCAACCAAATGCTTTTTTTGTGTGAAAATTCTCGATTTTATATTTTACATTTTATACTTTATTATGTTATAACTTTTTGAAAAATGTATGGATCAATATAATTTTTTTATCTACAGATTTGCTTCAAAGCTTTTTTTATGATAGTGATTTTAATCACTGTCAGATATCATTATACTTGACTATACCACTGTGCTGGATTTTTTCAAATGGCAACATACTTAATTAACTTGTTTATTTACATGGTTGTTACATTGTAAAAATTTCAAAATATTTAATGATCTTATGGGATCTTCTAACTGTTTACTTATGTTTTAAACAAAATTTTATGAATCCTGTTTATCTAATAGGTAATAATGGGTGCATTATAGAAGAATTGCCATGCATATATTTTATAACTCATTTTCAGAAAAAATGGGTTTTCAACCTAAATTTAGTGAAATACTTTTTAAGAAAAGGAGCTTTCCTTAAATTTTAGGATTTTATAAGAAGTAGGAATACAAAATATAAAATAACTTTAAAAAATACTTTTTTTAAATTTGTAATATTACAATAAATTTTTTTAAAAAAACATTGGTTACTTAAGAAAAATAGTAATTTAAAAAATGAGTAACAAAATTTTTTTTTATTATTACATTCATATTTTTGCAATCATAACACCTATCAAGTAATATTTTATTTTATGCTAAAAGTAGTAGTCAATTTTATTTATCAAATAACCCTTCATTTATCAAGACTAGTAATAAACAAAAGAAGTTTATAACTGTGAGATATACATTAAACACAGGTTGTTGTTGATCATCATATTTTTTTTTTTATAAAATAGTCAAATAATATTCAAATTTAGAATAACACTTAAATTAATACAACTAGTACATAAAAACTATTACTTAAAAGTAATAAAAATATTAGTAAGAAAACAATAAATTATAGTTGTTCATAGGCGAGTGGCGAGGTCGACATTAGCTATCATAAAAATTCTGATTTTAAGTATAATTTAATTAAACTAAGTAAAATTGATGTCCAAATTTTTATGAATCTACTTAATCATTTTACTTTTTAAATCTAAATAAGACAAACAGCCAAAATCAATAATTTTTTTTAATTAAGTACAAACTTAAAAATGTATTCTACATTAATTAAAATAATAAAACTTTTCTTTTTAACATGTTACTTTATAATTTAAGACCCGGTTGTTTCTAAATTTTAAATAAAATTATCCAAAATTTAGAAAGAACCTAATTTAACTTTAATCAGTTGACAAAAAAAAAAATGTCATACAATTACCAAAAATTTTACTTTACTGTCCAAATAAGTTACAATAAATTCAATTAATTTTGGCATATTAGTTAAATAAATGTATAACTATAAAATACTTTCAAACAAACAATATAATAGATATTATAGAATACTCAAAATAGACATTCACACAACAATCATTATTACAACAAAAGTTTGCAATTTATTTTGAAGTAGAAATAATACATTGAAACAAAATAGTTTATAATTATATATATTTACTGTACTGTTGAATAATTATTAATTTATATTGCAAATTAAAACATAATTTTAATGATGGTGTTCTTTACAGTCATAATAAATAGTCTTTTTCCTAGCCTTAATCCCAACTACTTGGGGTTGGCCTCAGGCATAATAAATAGTAGTAAAATAATTTTAAGACAAAATTACTAAAAATAAATTTGTACTTAAATAATTAAAAATATGACATTTTATATTTTATTGCAGCAAAGGATTACATCAGTTAGAAATAATTCGAAAAAAAGATTATTGCTAAAAGGAATTATACTATGAAAATTCATATAGTACTTAATAACATCATATAATGAATATATACTTTTTCTAATTTATTATAAAAAAAAACTGGCTATAACAATCCATTTCCTTAAGTTTCGACTAAAATAGTAAATTCTACCGTCAAAACTGAAAATATTGATTAATCTAAATTTTCAGGTGTCGAGAAATAATGCAACATAAAGACGGAGATAGGGACGCAATCATTATTGTAACGGTACATACCTACATACGTACGAGGTATAGCGGCTGGCTAACCTCTAATATTGTAGCGCGCCTGATTATTTGTATTGATTATTTGGGTGCGATAAAGGAGCAACCGCGACGGCGTCTACAAAAAAAATGCATAGAAAGCAGCAGCGACCACCCTAAAAAAAAGTTAATGATACGACGTTTGATCCAAAAACTTTTTAATCAATTACGAAATTATCAGACATCACAATTAACTACGCTTAGCTGCAAAAAAATACCTTATAAATAATAGAGATCTTACCGTCATATCTTTCAGCTTGTTCGGCGAGCTTTGCCTTGTACACATTTTCTTCTCTTTCAGACATGACGAATTATTTTACTGTATTATTAAAGTAATAAAAATGATTAAGAACGCGTTAGCGCTTATGAGTAACAATCACAAAAATGAATTTATTAAAATGACAACGCGTCGTTTACTAATGTAATTTGACGTTATCGCGTAACGTACTGTCACACTTAGTACTTAATAAATAGTTCACCTCTCGAAGATGAACTGTAACTGTGTGAAAATTGAAATTTTTTGTAGAGACGTACGGCGTTTCACGCGAATTACTCACTGGATACGGTTAAGCGGTATTAAGAATAAATTTGAGTCCTATGAGGGAACGTTACACAGTTTCCCGTCGCCGACACACGAATGATCTGGATTTAATATGGCCGCACCCGGCAGGCCGCCAACATGACGCTGTTCATGGAAAAAACAAGTTAACTCTATGTAATTGATCATTTTTTTCACAATAAAAAGTTGGTTCTTTTTGAATACTTGCACTATGGTCAAACAATTCGGTTTGCATTTCACAGATAGAACTCGTAGTTTTTGCGTTGGTGTTGTCAGGTGTTATAGGAGTAATGAATCATAATCTCATAATTCAATTTTATTGAGTATATTACATACAGTGAATCTAGTAAATATTCCGACATAGTATTGAACAAATAATTTGCCTTTTGAATTGTCGTTGTCATACAGATTTTTAAATTAGATTTAATCAGTCGTTTGACACATTTTTTTAATGGTGTTTACCATACTTATCAGTCGATAAGACTATGACATTTTACTTTTCTAGACGATGTCCGAATATTTACTTAGCCCACTGTTTATTAAAGATAGATACATGACTCAAGATAGGTAAAACCCAAGTAAATTAATCAATCCACCTTGGGTACAACTAAATCAAAATTAAAATATCTTTTATTAAAAATAAATATAACTATTAAAACAAATTATGTTGATTTCTTAACTTATTGGTATATCATCGGAAATTTAATATTGTTGAAATATTAACGTATTCTTCGATAACCGAAGAAACGGCTCATAATTATTAGTTTTAGTAGTTCAAGTAGTCCCCTGGAAATATTTCTATCGAATAGCACCATCTGCTGATTAGCCTTCGTTTTTTTAATTAAATAAAATCTTAACCCGTTTTTCTGTTTGTTGAATAATATTTAAGATAATCACCGTGTTTTGATCATTCAATTACATTTAAAATTGCTTTTATTAGTTAAAGATTTTTTCATCAAGTTAAGTGGATGATTAATATTTATGGATTACATAAATACATATTTTAATTCATACCATCATTTGGTGTAAAATTTGTATTGATAAATATGAAACTATTTTGTCTAAAATATTTTTTCAATGTATAAGGTATCGGTTGTACTAAATTGTATTTTTTTTTATTGTCTATATGAATACTCACTTTTTACTAGTCCGATTTTTCTTAATAAAATGTCAAAAAATTGCAAATTGAATCTAATGAAGCTATTGGGGCTATAATTTAGGAAAATCCACTAAATTTCTATAATAATTATTAAAAGAATATACCAATAAATTATTATTGTTATAAAACTGTCAATATTGATGTTTTTATTTTTCACTTTACGGTGGTATAACTATTTGAAAACTTGATGGATCTTTAGAACATTTTTACTAACAATAATTTAGATATTTACCTTCCTGACAACATACTTTTGTTTGGAAATCCAAATATTAACAAAAGTATTGGGGGGCTTAAACATCATGGAAAATTTTGTTTTTATTTTTGATAATATTTAAAAAGGCTTGCGTACTTTAAAGTTACCTAGGCCAAATTGAAGCTAATAAATTGTATATTAGAGGATAACAGAAAAATATTTGGAAACTTAATTATCTATCTATAATATAGATAGATTATATAGATATTGTTAATATAGATTCTATATTAACAATATTTTTTTCGGGAGTTGAACATTTTTACCATCCTTCAATATGCATATTAATATATGTTAAATTCTATTTTCATGGCGAGTTTTTGTAAATATTTGAAAAAACTCTCTCAACAAGTATTTATATTTAATGTCACTTAACACTCATTTATTTATTTTTAACGAGGAGTCATTTTTAAAAATGGGGGTACTTAAAATAGTGATTATTATTTATATAAAAATTGTAGTTCTTGTTTAACTTCGTAGAACATACACATAAAAGAAAAATTAACAGGACAAATTTTATATTTTAAATTTATAGTAAATTAAATGAACTAGCGTTTTATATGTATGTATTTAAAGAGTAAAGAATTTCTATAACACTTATATAAGTCATGTTCAAAAAGTTAACTTTGTAAGTTGCTATTTTTAACCCCACTCTATAATAGGAAAATTAACCAATTTTTTAAAGTTTATAGAAACGTAAAAATAAAAATGTAAAATTGCCGACTTAAAAATTGTAATTCTTTAGGAACACCATTTACGGGGTTGGAGAAATTTTTTTTAATTATGAACGTAATATATTTAACTATACAATTTTTCGACAAATCGTTCGTTGAGTAAAATGGATCCAGTAAGACCAGGAGATTAAAATCCAATAAACCACCGCGGATCGCTTATTAATTATAAGGAAATAAAAAAATTGGTTATTCTGTTCATTTTTTATATATTGGATTAAAAATTACTACAGTCCTTATATTTTTACGGAATGATTACATATTTTGAAAAAGGTAGGTAAATGCTTCTTTAAACAATTATAATATTTTGACAATTTTAGTAAAATAAGATATTTATTTTAAAATATAAGCTAAATTAATTCAGATATTTTAAAAAGGAGTTTTATTCATAAATATTTAATGTGTATACAGTTCATTATCTAATTATCATTTAATTTCTATAGAATTATTAACTGACTAAATTGAATTCAAAGAAATAAATATGGCTAGTCAAGTTAGCTGCTGATAAAAATACTAGAAAGTATTTCATAAAAAATAGTATGTCTACAGTTAATTACTAATATATTTACATACTAGGACTAGACATATATTATCTTACCTGTGCTGACTTTTATAAGCTATAATAAATTAAATAATAAAATATCAGTTTAAAAGGGCAGTACATAAATATTTTTAAGTCACATTCAATGTATTATATATAATGTATAGAGCTACTTAAATATAAGTACACCAAATATTAATATACAATTACAGAAACTATGGAGGTAATAATACAAGAATAGGCCAAACAAATTAGGTTTTCATATTATTGTAAAATAAATAGGTACAATTTGAGAATTCAAAATAAAAATAATAAGACAATTTTTTTTTTGTAAATTGTGATTAGTTTCTATAAAAAAGAATCTATTAGTAGAAAATAAAAATTACATTAAAAACAAAATTTTAACTATATAATAATTAACAACAATTTTTAAAGCAATTTGAATTTTATTTTAATTTAATAAACGTTCAGAAATTTAACCAATAGACAAATTGCTATGATGGTTTTTAGTAACTTATAAATAAATTTAATGTTAACAAGTCATATTTTTATTAATTGATTATTTACAAATTGATAGATCAATACTTAACAAAATAAAACCACTTGTTTCTAATGTAAATTGCATTACTAAACAAACATCAGAACTATCTTAACATTCAATAAATGCAATTAATTATTATTTAAAATCAAGAAAACAAATGGTTAATAATTTCAAAGATATATAACATCTTTGCATAAGTTGTAATACATTTTGGTAATATTTTTAAATTAAAGAAGATTAATTAAGGTGACAATTATTTTTCAAATGAATTATGTAAACCAGCAATTTAGTTTTTAAGTTGTTTTTATGCATTTAATTAAATTATAATGTATATTTAAAATAATAATGTATATAAGACAGTAATCATTTCAAAAAAAGATTAGTAAGTTATTTCAAATCAAAAAAAATTATGCTATCTTCTGATATAACATATTGAATGTTACTGATAGACTATAATAGAAAATTTCATATTTTTATTAGAAAAAGTAATATAATGATTATACATTTTGAGAAAACCAGATAAAAAGAAAAAGCATAGACAAATATTTTATAATATATTACTCTTAAATAATTTTCTAAAAAACTTTAATTTAAAGATTTTGACATGGCTTTTTAACTTTAGTTAAGTTTTAACATTTATTAACAACTGTTATTTTACAAATGTCATGTAATCAATAATAATATCACTTTTATTTTTAATATTTCTACATTTGCAAAAAGAACTAATTATTTGCCACCTGAAATTCATGTTTTTAAATATGTTTAATAATATATAAATATATATTTTATCATGGTAACCACAAAATTAAATACTAATATAAAATAATTTTCAAAATTAGTTAACATTATAACCATGAAATAAATAAAAAATAGTAGTTTTGATAACTAAAACCGAACATTATATACTTGTATAAAATCACCAAAAATTCTCAAAGAAATTATGTATACATTCACCATATTTAAGTAATTTTTATTACACCCACACACACACTGCAAAATAAAATAAAAACAAAAAATGACAAATATAGAAAGTGGAATGACTTTTCTTTCTATGTAAATAGGTACTAAAAAATTTATATGGCAAAAAAATCAAATAAAATTAGAAATAAAACTGATTAATTGGCTGATTAGGCATACTATAGTTATTAATGTGCACAACTCAAATCATACTATATTGTTAACTTGAGTCAAAACTAAATTTAGAAAATTTAATGTAAGTTTCTATTCTTTCAATATTTTATTATTAATAATTTATCTGTTGTATAAATTTTGAAATAAAGCTTTGGATTTTAGATTTATTATGTTGAGGATTTTTTTTAATCAGCATCTGCTTTCATTCCTCTTACAGTGCCTTCATTTAGTTGCTGAAATAAAAATAATATATAGGTTAAAATTAATTATATTATACATCATTATATAACTGTACTTTATTTAGTTCTTCTCTAGTTTTATCCTCAATTTCTCGAATGTCTTTAAGAGTAAGCCCATGCCAGCGATCCATCCAACAAAATACTTGTCTAAATTGCATTATTTTCAAGGAATTAAAGAAAATTAAAAGAGTTATTAAATATTATACAATTAACCTATATTTACCTATGAAAATTAGTAAACAAACGTCGTTCTGACTTTTGAATTAAGTTTTCTACTCGATTTTGTAGCCCAAACCATTTGAAATCTGCTGATACTAGCTTGTAGCAAGTCATAACTGGATTTGCCTAAAAATGCAGTAAATCTTTAGTCAGTAAAATACTAGGAGTTGTTATATATAATTACTTATAATAATATACCTTTTTTATAAATATAATTTTTTTAAATAGTAGAAACTATTTTCATTAGGTTAATCCAAGCCATTTTTAAACATTTTTTTTATACATAGTAAACACAATCTTCTTTTTTTAATAGTTGAACTTATGATAATATATAGAGCACAGAGTATAAAAGATTCTAGACAATTGTGACTTTACAAAATAAAATATATAAGTAACTTTTTGTAATTAAAAAGTTTTAATCTTAAAATATATTTGTTGCTCTCAGTACATTGGCTTTGAATTCATAGATGTAGCTTGAAAAATTAGTCTGTAGGGGCTACAGTGTCACATTCTATTTGGATAAAAAAACATGGCAGGAAGCTTTTTTACTACAGTGCTATATCTACTGTCTTACCTCCAAAAAGAAATTCAGTTCATTTGAAATGGCTATAAATGTGTCTGTAGGGGCTTCAGCTCCTACGAAAACTACGCTATTACATGAAATTTCATTAGAGATGATTAGGATCCCATTAAGGAAAACTACTAATTTCCTTTCTACTAAAGAAAGAAAATTAATAGTTGATTAGGTAAAAATGTTAAAAACACTACAATAAAGTGGTTTAACATATATTTTTATATTATGATACATATGAGGTTTTAGTAGAAAGTTTACCAACAGCATTCATGATACGCTTTATCATTTTTCATTTAAAAAATGGTTGGTTAATATTTTAAAAAAATTACCCTCATTCCAGTTTTTTAGAAAAAAAAAAAACATTTATCGCACCTGTACTAAGTTCAAAAAGAAAAATTTGAGTATTTCTAAATGTAAATGGGTTAGTTAACAACTAACATCACATTTATTAATCAAAAAAAGATTTTTAACTTAATCAAAATTTTCACTTTATTCAAATTGCTATGAATGTAGTAATAATAATTACATTATCTATCCAATTTCCACAAAGTGGACCTCGTCCAGTTTTTTTGCTTTGGAACTTTTTAGGATCTTCATCTTCTTTGTAATCTGAAGATGAAACAGCATCATTTCCAATGTCAATCATTTGTACGTCTCGATGCTTTAATTTTTCAGGTGGAAGTTCATGAACCTGTTATTTTATATTTTTATTAGTCTATTAATACAAATTGTTTTCTCTTTAAATATTGTAAGCTTGAAATATAAAAATAATTAAAAATAGAAGAGACTGACTATATTTAATTGGTTATATATCATACTATTACAATAAATGTTGTAATCTTAGAACAAAAAAGTTTGTTTAGAATTTTGTTATTTTTATAACTAATCTGATGCTCATATTTAAAAGGTATAATAAAGATAGCTCAGATATGCTAAATCATATATGATGATAAATTTTGTACAGTATATTAAAAAAAATAAAATACATATTTGTAGAGATCATAGGGCAAGTTGTCAAATTTTGTTTGGATGAAGGCTTAATTTTAATTTCTCTCTTTTTGAAAAATATTTATATAAAACAGTATATGTATATATATATATATATGATTTTTCTTGACTTTGGAGTTTTTTTAAATCAAACGATAAATGATATTTGATTTTAACGGAATAGACAATGGACTGCTGTACAATAATATTAACTTAAAAGTATTTATTTTACTGAAAAATTAATTTTTTTAACTTGAACTTTTTTTTTCCAATACTCTAAAACTTTTTATTAAGATATTCAATCTTAAGTTTATATAAAATATTAGTATGTTTTAAATATGTATAGGTAGAAAGCAATAAATAGCATGCAAAAGCAGTAAATTTTAAAATTTAATAAAATTATTAATTTAATGCCAACATTTAACAATTAAAACCATAATTGGTTAGAATGTGTAACATAATAATGGCCCTTAAAAAATAATAAAGCAAAACTAGTTATTATAATAATCTAAGTTCCTTAAAAACTAATTGTTAGTTTTTTTATAAGAAACTAAAATAATTTAAAAACTTATTCTTTTTTATCTATTTATATATAAATAGGCAATTACGTTTATCATATATGAATAAATTTCGATGTCACTAATAACTTTAATTTATACTCCCACATAAAATGATAACAAAACATGTAATTAAATTTAGTAAAAACATATTTCAAATTTTATAAATATTTAATCAAAATTAATTACATGAAGTTGAATAAATAAAAAATTAGAAAATCAGCTCTGTAATTTTATTACTAAACCATAAATTAAGTACAATTTCTTACGGTTTAAAAAAATCAAATAAATGACACAATTGATTTTATAAAAACCATTTTTTCAATAGAAATTGTATAATGTTTTATATTTTTGTTTAATGGTATAACCCAACCCAATCAATTATTAAATATATAAAAGCAAATAAGAAATAAATGGCTTGTTTCATGTTTTAGTTTGAAGTTAGTTTTTAAGAGAGGGTTACTTGCTTAAATTTAATTTTTAATAGGAAAACTAATTTTAGGGTATTTGAGGTAAATTTTGACAAAAATTTAATTTGCCTAGAAAATAAAAATAGAAAATTACACAAATTTTACTTATTAACAATTACAACACATTTTATATTATTTTTTCTTATTGATTTAGACAATTATGACACTAGTATATATTTCAAAACATATCAAACATCTAACTTAATATTATAAGTGTTTATGTATATATTATAGCACTTACATTTTCTTGTGTACCTTTATCAGCGATATGATAAGATTCTATGATTAAACTGAAATTTTCTTTCATATAGTTTGGATTCTGTATATATAAGTAAACACCAAACAAAAAGCAAATACATTAAATAGCATCTTATTAAATATATAATGAATATATTTATTTTTTAATCGCCTTCTTAGGTAAGTTATTATTAGGGTTTGTGGAAAAGGGGCATATATATATATATATATATATATATAGCTCACTATAACAGTATCAAACCTTGGTATTTAGTTATGTTTTCTAATTGAGCATTGGAGATTTTAAAAAAGTTTTGTATGCGACTTTCTTAAGAAATAGCTTAACAGTAATTTTTTTAGTATTTATAATGTATCACAACTTTTTAATGTTCCTTAAAGTTGATAAGCAATAGTTTTATAAATCATTCTACATAATTCAAGTGTTAGAATATTGTTAAATTCGATAAGTATTTAAGAATACACTGATGTAAATTTTACTGGTAATTTAGCTAATTTATCCTATTAAAGTAATAAATCACCATCATTAAATAGATGAATAATTCATAAATAAAAAGTGACATAAATGTTTATATACCCAAGCATGGAGTTAAAGCACATGATATTATATCCCAGTAAGCAAACTTAAAATTTTATTCAATATTGAAAATTATGAAATTAATCCCTCAACCTTTCAATTTTCACTTACATTATTTTGTGTCCCTCGATCAGCATAATGGAATGATTCTATAGTTAAGGTAAATTTTTCTTTCATATAATTAGGATTCTAAAAATAAAATTTAATCTTTCAAAAACTAAAGTTCTTTATTAAATGACATAATTTGTTCTATACTTCTAAATATAATAGAAACATAACTACTGAATTAAAGTAAAAGTTTTTGGTATCAAAATGTTTCTTTAACACATATCTATAAAATGGCTATCTTCAAATAAATAAATAAAATATATAACATGTTATGTAAATCATAAGTTATATGAGTTGTCAGTTAGATCTGTTCCACTGTGTATATATATATATTTATTATACCCCAAACAAAGAGTTTTTACAAAATAATATTGTGATTAACCTCATTATATGTAAGTACAATAAAGTCTTTATAAGTGTAATTATAAAGAATCATGAAAGACAAATTTAAGTAAACACAGTATGTTTATAATAATAACATAATAAATAAAGAAAAAGATAAAATAAAAATTTTTATTTCATCAAAATAGTAAGCTTTTAGAATGATAAAAGCTTACCACTAATGTTTTTATAACCTAAAATTATTATATTAGTATAACTATTATTTGACTGTTTTAGTTTTGAATTTAAATCTTCGGTAAGAAATACACATAACTAATAATTAAATATAGAATTTTTATCTTCAATTTTACATTTGTTACTCAAGATATATAATTTAAACTAAGTAATAAATGCAAATATCCAATAAAATACATTATCAAAAACAACTTACAGTAATTACAGTTCGACAATATGGATAAGCATTCCATGCTTCTTCATGAACTTCTAATGCTCCTTTAGGAGCTATAAGTTTTATCATTCCAGGTACTTTACTAAAAGAATTAAAATTATTATCACTAAAAATAAATAATTGACTTATAGTGTCAGATTTAATAATAACAATAATTTATCTTATTTTAGTGTTAAATATCAAAAAAACTTTATGTAAAATTAATAATATTTATTTCGAGAATACAAGTTCATTTATACAGATATTTTATTTTAATTAGTATAATTATTTTAAATTCATAACATTGAATGTAAATTAATAATTTTTTTATCATATGATGATAATATATGATGAATATAAATAGTTCTATAGTGGAATTTGTTTTGGTATTAACAAGGTACCATTTATCCCTGTATGCTATCAATCTAGAAAAAATTATATTGACATAAAAAACATAAGTGTGCAATAGCCTAGTGATAAGGTTTGTCTTTACGATATCTTGAATTATAGTATTTAATGTTGCACTGTACCTCTATTTTTTACATGGCTGTGTAAATATATTTATGTAAATTTATAATAATTATCATAAAAAATTTACTTCAATCATTAATTATAAAAATACAGAAAAAAAATTATTTTCTCTTAAACACAAAGTAAAATATAACTGATATACAAGGTCCAACATAAATAAAACTGTAATTATTAGCTCATAAATTAAACATTTTTGTCATCATATGTTATTTTTTAACTTATAAAGAGAATGATTCAGAAATGTTTTTTATTTTTGAGCCAGTTAAGCATGTATGTTTCTATTTAAAAATTCAAAGGCATACAATTATAAGGAGAAAAAAAAGGGGATAGAATTATATACCTTAGTTAATTAAAGTGTGTACATAATAGTATTTAAGACATAGTAAGCAAATAATCCTGTATATTAGAATTATTTATATTATTATAAGGAAGGAAGGCAACAGTTTTTAGTAAATTTAATAATAATAAAAACTATAAATAAGGTATTATTTATATAATAGTCATATATTAATTGAAAAAAAATTGAAATGTTTCAAAGGAGCTATACAAATTTTATTTCTATTGCAATAATAATGCATGGTTTAATTTATAATTATCTTTGTAATGAGCATTATTTATACTTCTAAACATGACAAGTAGATATAAATAAATAAAATTAATTATCAATGATAATTGAAAATATAATTGTAGATACTTTTAATGATTGCCAATACTAATGAATTAAATTATACTAAAATTAATTAATAATTAAAACATAAAACTCAATATAAATTACAATTGGTTAAAAAAATTGATTAAATATTGTGTATTGGTTTTTAAGAAATTCAATGTTATTTTATTAACCTTCAAAAAACACACTATTCAATGTTATTTGGAAAGAATATAATAATTTTTGTAAAAAGATTTAGATACCAATATATTACCTGTATACATTTTATTTAGATATAAGTTTAATAAAAAATAAAAATGAAAAACTATTTATGAGTGATTATTTCATAAGAATAATTATTATTAAATATTAGGGAAAATAAAAAGCACTTCATAATTCCTCTATTTCTATAAATCTAATAAATTAATAGAAAACATTAAAATTTTAAACAAATTTACCTAGCCAAGTGGTATACTTTGTAGGTATATTGCCCTTCTGAATACTTTCCTCCTAAAAGAGGGTAGTTTGAAAAAGGTTCATTTTTTAGAACTTCTATACCTTCTCCTCCACCAGTTTCATTTTTGCTGGCTTCAGCAACAGAATAAAGCTGAGCAATTTGATACTAAAAATTACAAAAACATTTTATACTTTTATTTTTTTTCAACAACAATAAAGAATACTGTTTGTATAAGATACATTTAAGTCTTAGAAAATAAATGTTTTATAAATATTAAAATATAAAGACTATTACGCACAAATTATTTTAATTAATCAAATAATATTAAATAAATGAAAATGAATACTTACTTCTTCAACAGTGAGAGGAAGCACTACACGACTGAAACAATTAAATGAATGAACATAAATATTGAAAAATATATCTTCATCAGTGGCGTATTCAGAATTTTTTTGAGGAGATGGTTGGTAGTAATTAAAAATATATATATAAATAATTTTTTTTTTTTAATTTTAAGTGATTTTTAGTATAAATAACTATAATTTGTATGTATTAATTTTTTACATTACTTTTTAAATATTAATAGAAATATATTTTACATTTTGTTCCTATTTGATATTTATAATATTATTTTTAATTTAGAATGAAAAGGTTAGAAATTGAAATACTGTTTCAAAAATTGTTGTTAACCAGTAATTTCTTTAATTAGATTATTTTCTATTTTATAAGCTAGTTAAATATATATGTTGCTATTTAAAAATATTAAGTTGACACCCATTTAAGTCATAAGGGATGATTCTAAAATATAATTATTATTATTTTCCATACATTTTTTTAAAATATAATTTTGTTATAATGAATCTTTATAAAATAATAAATGCAAAAATGTTGCATCAAAAAGAACATATTCCAATTTTTTGTCACTCATTAATACACATACTGAATATTCATGACTATATGACATGTAATTTTTAATAATTTTAAAGAATATAATAAAAAGTTACTTAGTTTCCAAATTATTTTTTTTAGTAAAAAAATGAAATACTAAGGATCAAAAAATAATCATTAACCATAGAATTATAATTTATATTTTAAGGGCAAAATATCTGAATATAATCAAATTAGCTCTACTAATTTAATTACCTTTTATTACATAATTACATATTTCAAATAAATTGTTTACATAAAATTCATCAAAGTAACAAATTATTTTTTGTTGTTTGATAAGAGAATTGAAAATTTTATTTTACTATATTTAAAATTAAAATGTTTTACTTTATTTAAACTTTCATTTTTCAATGGAATATTAAGAAACTAAAAAGTTTGAAAACTTTAAAAATATAATATTTAACTGAGAAAAATTTGAGTAAATAAATAACATATTTAGTTTATTAATTAATATTTATGAAAAGTGAATAACTACATGCTAATATATGCTTTATATAAGTGAAGTTAAGTAAAGTTATTGTTAAGTAGGTCAATTTTTATTTTTTTAAGAATTTCATAAAATAATAATCCTTAATTATAACAGTAATAATTAGAAGACAAATTTAAATGATTTTAAAAATATTTGTGAAGTTATTCAGAAAACACCATCAGCCAGAAAAATTTTTAATAATTGTCTTGAAAAATTAGTAATGTGATATTACCAAAATTATAGTTTTAGAAGGGGTATCAGGGGCATTAATCCCTCTAAAACAAAAAATATTTTACACTCCTATATAGACCTATAATAAAGTTGAATTTTCAAAGTGGCTAAAACAAAATTTATAAATGCAAAAATTTGTAATAACTTTTGAAAGACAAATTTTATTTTAATATACTCCTTACTAGTTTATAACTTGAATAAAAAGAATTTTTTAATATAATATCAAAAAAAGTATCAAGTTATAATACTTATTGGAAATTTAGACATATAACACATTAATAAAATTATAAAAAACATGAAAATAGAAAAAATAAAAATTATTCAAAATGTGGTTTCAATATTTTAATTTGATTTATAATTAAATTTATATTGTGTGTCTTAGACACATAGTACGGGTATTAAATTTAAAAACCCAATTTGAATCATAAATTCAATTTTTGATAATTAACAAATAAATAATGCAGTGATTTAAATAAATTAACAATAAATATAATAATTTGATATTAAAGACATATATTTGTATTACATAGATAATATTTACCATTTGCTAAAAATCTTACTTACAATTCTTTGATGAGCATTTTTCAATGGGGTTTGTACAATTTTGTAATGATAAGTTATACACGTTGCTAAAAAAATATATATAGCTAAAATGACTAATTCTTGATTTAAATAATATTCCGATTGACGAAGTATAAATATATACCTCGTAAGTTAGTTTTTATAATTGTTTAACAATTAAATAAATAATAAATAAAAATTGTATATTTATATATACAATAGAAACACGCAAAGGGTTTTTAATAATTAAAACTGGGCCTACAACACCCAAAAAGCACTATTCTGGAAATATGAACTGTGCATAAAACTACAGATAGTAAATCTAATGTTGCCAAACTACTGATAAGTGAGTATACAGGAGTACGAAAATACAGAAAAAAAATACGAGGTTCTAAGACCTTCAAATCGATTGCCAGACCTGTTTTACTACTACTACTACTACTTCTGCAATCGACTCCATCCTTGGTGCAGCGTATACGACAAAAATTATCAAAATTCAATAGCTCACATTGGAATGTGAAACAGCAATGAAACAGCGGCATCTCCCAAATTAACCGATAACTAGATTTTATCAATTGAACTGGCATACATTTTTTGAATTATTATTTCAATATCAAAAATTACATATTGCTTGAACTTAAGTTTTCATTGTTTTAATTTAAAAATTGCTGAGATATTTCTATTAAATAAAAAGAAACGTTAACAATAAATAATTCTCAACATTTAATGTTTTAGTGTGCGGTTAGGGAACTCAATAAGCTCGTGTTTTTCCATATAAAACAAAATCCTTAGATTGAAACCTTTTTCTTTTCTTCCCAAATGGTTAGTTATTTTTTAAATTTGTTGCGATTCTTATTCATATTCTATTGTTGAGCTTTTTTTTTGGTCATCAAACTTTATATTTTAAGAAATTTGTATAAAATTATGAGAAATCAAATATTTTTAAAATTATAACTTCTTATAAATAAATTTTGGTTGCACCACTGAGTCAGTTAAACGATTAGATCATGTTTATGTATTTTGTTACCAACATTTTTTTTTAAATCATACTTAAAGGTTTTTATGACATATTTTTTAGCTTCGTATCTTAAAGCTTATTGTCTTTAATACTTATGGTTTCTAGAGGTTTCGTTAATTGAAGTTCTAGAAATTTAAAAAGAAAGAAACTTTGAAAATGCCTCATATAATGGTTTTGTAATTTTGAGATTCTTTTAAAATTGAAAGTAATTGTTTCAATTTTAGAAGCTAAATTTAGGTTCTTTAAACGTATAGATTATGAGAGTTCTACATTTTTATAAACAGACACAAAAAAAAAAACACCAAGGTAACAGTGGCATATTAAGGGTTTCAGTAGTTTTTATTTGATATTCTAAAATTTTTTATTGAGTAAAATAAATATTTTTTTCATAGCTTATCTTAAAAGATATTTTACACTTAAAAATTTAGAATATGCATAAACGTAAGAATATTAATTATAAATAAAAATACATATAATGTTTACTTGAGTTTTAACAGATATTCAGCTATGACGTCCCCTAAGGTTTGAAGAGGGCCTTTTTCGTCCTGGGATAGCTGTTTCAGGTAGATTTATATAGACATTCCATTGTATGGTAAAAACAATAACTTCACATGGAGCTTTTTAATTTTTATGCACATTTTTTTAGATTATTTATTGTATAATCTGAGTACTTTTCTGGCTAAATTTTTTTAAAATCTGATATTCATTTAATATACGAATTTTGCGCACAATGGACCAACAGGTCTGAGTGCATGGGCATTATGTCCACCTCAATAATAACTAATATACGAATTTATATAAAATATAAATATTAGTTTAAACAATATTTTATTTCATTAAAAATAAGTCTGGTGCACATTTGGAACGCCTATGATATGGTTAATGTTGCTAGCAATTAAAAGCTTATTATAAATATTAAGAAATATACTAACACATATAAATAATTATAAACCATATAAAACATAATTTACAAATTTAAGTTTGGTTTAATGGAAAAATAAATTTAGACAGGATAGTTGTTTCAAACTTTAAAATCCTATAATAACTAAAAATAAGTCACTTATTTCAGTGATAGTTAAATATAAAATGTATTACAATATTTAGAGTCGATTAATTTTTTCAATAGTTTTAATTATTGATAAGTTTGATAACGTGGTAAAGTTAATATAATGTGCATTCTGGTGAGAAACGACGAGTGTGCCAGTTTTCAACAATTTGTGTGCCTTGTAAGTGCATTTTTTTTTAAATCAACTAAACAATTTTAAATGTGTAAAATATTAGTTTTATACACAGTTAATAAATAAATTTGTTAATATTGCAATTATATAACATGAATCTCTAAGTAGTAAAGTTTGACATTATTTCATTTCTTTCAAATTAAAAATAACAAATTTTAGTGCATATTAAAAAAGAATTTATTAAAAAATAAATATATTTTATTAGGAATTTCATTTATTATAATTATTTGTAATAATTGTTAGAATTATCTATTTAAATATAATTTGTTGAAATGTTCTCTATTTTTTACTTTTTAAACTATTTTATTCTTATTTTAATTTTTATATTAAAAAAATAAATCAACTTAAGCGGTTGATTTGTTAATAAGTATTATTTTAGTTATGCATTATGGGTTAAACATCTTAATTTAGTTTTCTTTAACCGATGTTTTTTTAAGGTGCATGACACCCTAAAACCATTTTAACAGTAATTCATGGAGACGGGTATCATTAGAATAATCATCGTCAATGGTTATAAAAATAATGATACCATACACGTTTTATAATCAAGGACTAATTTATTTACAATGAATAATTTAAATTAGCCAAGAATGTCTGCATAAATACTATAACCACTTTGAATTTATGCAAATATCATTTATATGGTCATTGTATGAGAATTATTTTGTTAAAAGTATACGATAATAAATTATTTATTTTTAAATTAAGAAATAACTTTAATCACAACAGTTCTTTTATAAATTGAAAATATTTAACTTATAAATATGTACTAAAAGAATTTTTTCTACAGAGATCGGGTACATGAGCAAAAATCAAAAAGCAATCAATGGATCCTCTTTATATAAACATTTATTTTAGTATCTATGCTATTTAAAAGAAATATTAAGAAAATTAGATATTTTTCACGCGAGTATCATTGAATTTTTACTTTTAAAAGCAAAGAGTATTTTTTTATTGTTAAAATTATAATAATATTCTTTATTGTAAGAAAAGGGTTCAAATATTTCTTTTTATAAAAAATGATCATTATTTTTTATGTTTTTACAAATGCTTAGCTTATTAGAGAGTAAAATAAAAAAAACTGCTGTCCTTATAATAAAGTCGTTCTTTCAAGGTTTCGGAGTTAGTGAACTTGTTTTTAGTTAAGTTATACATCATGGTCAACAAGTTGTATGTTTAGACCTATGTGCATTCAGCACCTATCTATTGTTACACTGGGAGTGTCGTGGATTGTATGGTAAGACTTTTACAACAGAAATAAAAGAATTATCTGCATATGAAAATACTCATTATTGATTACCTAATTATATTCCCAAACTAATATAAATACAATTGAAAAATTGTGTGTGTATTTTATAATAAATTAATATAAAATTTGGTAATTTATTTATTATAAACTAGTTATTTAAACCAAAAATATAAATAATATTGAGAGTTTTATTTTTTTCAATTTCTTTTAGATACAAGTATTTCTCAATGTATCAATCATTAAGTATTTTTTATGTTTATCCCTTATATATTACAAAGGTGTAAAATTATTTTTTAAACTTATATAACCTAAATATTTAACTAGATTATAAAACAGAAAATTATCTAATTAAGAAAATAGCTAGCCGTTAATAATTTTTGGATCATTATTTGGGAAGTTATTAACTTCTTTATGACTGGAAGAATCTGACACTCAAGACCCCGCCCCCGTAATTGCACCAGTGAGTCCGATGCGTTGGTCTGTGCTTCTCTATAATGAAATGATTTATGGCCTTTTCTTCTATTAGTATTTAATTTAAACAATATAAATACAAAAATTAAATTAATTAATTTTTAGGAAATAAATATGAAATTAAAAAAATATATATCATTACCAAAAATGTTCACATCATTAGAAAATATACAAAAATTAAAATAACAACTTATTTTTATATGTAAATGACACGCATGAAGTCCTTTGGCAAATATAAATGCTCTCTTATTTTTATTGCAAGGACGATTAATAATATGCGATGCATTAGTACATAGAAATTCAATGTCGATTATTTACAAATAAAATGTTGAATGGGAGCATTTCTAGGTACATAGTTTATACATACACTAAAATTTTAAACAATAACACAAATAGTATAAATATACAGAGTGTTCAGTAAGTCAGGAAACGGGTTTCCTGACTTACTGAACACCCTGTATAACATTTTTATTATAAAAATGAAAAAAAAACCATCATTAATTAGATAAAGTATGATTGATCAGTACCGTAGCTTCTAAAACTACAAGTTGTGTTTATGGATTGAGTTATGCGAAGAGCATAAGTAAATATAGAGGCGTATTTAAAGCTTATTTTAAGGGCGGTTACTTAATTTTTTTTTTAATTTGGTAATCATATTAGAAAAATTTTTTTTGTTAAAAAGCAAAATGATGACAAAAAAAGTTCTTTCGAGCTATACTTCATACATATTGACTTAAAAAATATTGATAGTATCTACTCATAAAGGAGACAATCGTCCTTATTGACCCTCCCTTAAATACGCCTCTGAGTAGATATTAATTTAAAATATAATTTTTCTACATATTAAAATTTTCTTATTAAAGGTTGTTAGCTGTTATAAAATAGAAATTAAACGTTCGAAGCGGAAGCATCTAATTTTTTTTTAATAGCCTCCAACTCTTTAATATCGGATACTGTGGATTTGCATTTATGAACCACCAAATTTTTATAAAAGTGAAATACAAAGAATACAAATATGAATAATACTGGTATGACAATAATGGTGGCAGCCATAGCAGCTCGAACTGAATGATCCCAAAATTTCACCCAACACAGAATTGCCACTTCGACTAAAAACAAGAATAATCCGAGGACAGTAGAAAATGTCCAAGCCAGTTCAATGAAGCCTCGCATGCGTTCATGAGGCGATTCTTGTATAAGTTTAGTACTCTGTAGTTTGCTAATGGCATCCACGTTTGGTAGTAAATATGTACTTATCATTAACGCGAATATGTGAACTGCTACCAACACTGTAGTACAAACAGCAAACATGATGAATAACCATTCAGGTACCATAGTTGGCTCGTTGATTTGTAACTCAACCATGGCCACCTATATAATAAATAGTTAAAACTAAAATATTTTTTTTTAAGGATTCTTTTAAAGTGATCCAGTAAAGCCTAACTCCATTTAAAGTTCAGCTTTTATTTTAAAAATAATTAAAAGTAAATTTATTAAAATGGAAATATTATAGTTGTAATTTTTAATATTTGATTTGTATAATCAACGAAATAATTATATCATTGATTTAAAATTTAGGCGATTTGATGCAGACCGTTCATTTATCGATACTCTCCTTAATGGTCTAATTGATGCACCAGACCTTTTGTCTTCTATATCCTTTCGTGTTCCATCCTATCCCACTAGAAATCACTTTCCCTTTCATGTTCCCTCTCATCATACCTCCTATAATAATAATAATCCAATACACAGAATGCTACGCTCTCTCAATAATACTTAGTTTTTTGGTTACATTTACTTTTAAAAAAATTTAACTGTCTTATATTAATTATATATTATATTTATCTTATAAATCTTAATTTATTGTCATCATTATTTTGTTGTCATAGTTTCTTACTCTATGTTTTACATATATGCATGTACATTATTTTTTTTTTCTCTTCTTTTTGTTATATTATGTTATATATTTAGGTTACCATAATATTATTCCTGTAAATTGCCGTTTGGCGTTAAATAATTAAAATAAAATAAAAATAAAATAAAATTTATCTACAGATTAATCGGTTTATCATAAACCACTCGATTAATCTCAAAATAAATACAATAATAAAAACAAAGCATTTTTTTAGTTATGTATATATTTTTGACCAATACTTTGGAAATTATTCTTATTTTTATACCAAAGTGGGACTAAAAATCTTTGTCCTAGGTACAGTCAGGAAATTACTAATGATAAAAATAACAGAATTCACTCCTCACCACCAGTTATTACTTTCAATTATTAATAACTTCTGAAATATTGTTTCAAAGGTTTTTATAGACCAATTACTTTCATACATAGTTAAATATGTATTTCGCCATTAAAAAAATTTAGTTGACACCTTTTTAAGTCATAAGGGATGATTCTAAAAAGTAATTATTAGCTGATAAATCAGGAAATATATGTAATTAAAAAAAATGAAAATTCCTTTATTTCAATATTGTATTTATTTATTTATTATATTTGTGAGGTACCATGATACATGTTGTTCACTGACGATAAAGTGTTAGTAGAAGAAATTAGGGAACAAATTAATCAAAGGCCAAAGATATGAAGATCATCTATCGAAAGAAAGATATTAAAAATATGTAGAAGTAAGACAGAGAAGATAAAGAACTAGTTTGACAAAGGTCAATACGAGGTAGGTGAAATGCGGAGTTCAGTGGCATTAGGCAAGGACGTGATAGAAGAGGTAGAATGTTTAAGGTAAGTTCTATAAGACTGTAGTGAAACCAGCCATGATGTATGATTCAAAGTGTTGGGCGGTTGATAAGAGAATAAAGCAGAGAAAAGAATGCTGCTTAGATGGATGAGTGGAGTGACTAGGAAGATAGGATAAGGAACAAACATTTAAGAGAGAGTATAGGTGTAGTATCAATTGTAATTAATATGAGAGAAAATGGATTTAGATGGTTTGGTCATGTTATGAAGAGAGAGGAATCGGAAGCTGTAAGATCAGTTATGAAAATGAATGATGAAGGAAGATGAGGTAGAGGGATGTCATCGAATGTGATATGAGGGCGGCTAATGTGGGAGATTGTGTCAAGTGGAAAGTTAGGATAACCTTGATCGACCCCAAGTAGTTGTGATATAGGTGAAGAAAAAGAAAAAGTTCGTTTTTATTTTGCAAACAATCAAATGGCCTATGATAAACTTGTTACTCTGTATAATCAGATGTTGAATATATTTATAATTTTGCCATTTAGTAAGGATCTATATTCATAGGCACGCTTAAAAAAAATGTGCGTATTCTTAATGTATATAATGTATACATTAAATAAGTTAAACAAATTTTCGAAGTCATAGAGGTATAAAATATTTTTTAAATACAGATTTTTGAATCTTTCATCTCATAATTCACTACATGTACATAAAATTAATGTATATATTAAAAATGATAAGCTATAATTTGGACTTTTTTTAATTATGTGTATATATATAATATATTATACTTTAATAATACAATTTTCATTTAAAGTGTGGTAAGGACATCCCATGAAAAAATCAAAATAAAATTTGATTAATTTAATTAATGTGTTAGTTAAATTAATAACTGTTATTATTTGTTTTTTACATTTATTTATTTTAAAGAATGTTAAATCTATGTAAACAATTGTTAATACAGTATATATTACCATAGCAAAACCAGATAAAAGTTCAGAAGTAGTCGCGGTAGCTTTCAGTTTTGCTCTACTCATATGCAATCTTCTCCAAGTCAATCCATCAGTGTCTTCATAAGGTTCCCCATTAAAATTAGTTGTACCAGAATAACGTTTACCCTAAAAAAAAAAAACAATTAATAAAATATTTAGTAATTTTTTTCATGATTGTTTTAAATAAAAAAAGTTTAAAAATGTCGAAATTTACCGATTTTAAAAATAATAATTTTTTGGGAAATTTTCTCTGTTTACAAGTAATGGGGTTATTTTTTTCAATTTTTATGGGCAATATCTTAAACTAAATACAATTTGTGATCTTTTGATGTATCTTTATGAGAAATCAGTCTGATAAGAGTTGAGAAAAAGTGGTGACAGACACACAAAAATAATATATTAATACTTATACTTTCTCAGACTCTATGCGAAACTGAAAAGATAATTTTTTTTGTGTCGGTTACTACTCATTCTTAGTTCTCTCTGACCGATTTTGATGAACAATACGTCAAAATATCACAAATCGTTTATAGTTGAAAACATTAAATTCGAAAATTGAATAAAATTCTCTCGTTCCCCATAAATAGGGGAAATCCATAAAAAAGTTTAATTTTAAAAATCCGTAATTTTCGCACATATTTTAAATTTTTTTACTGAAAACTTTTATAACTTTTTCAAAAAAAGTATCGATCAATTTTTTTTATAGATAAATGAGGTATTTAGCTATTGTTTGGTATTTTTTTTTTAAATTTAACCCTTAACCTGCCCACAGGAGGGAATTTAAAATGAAAACTTTTTTACAAAAAATTAACTTTTTCAACTTAATTTTTGAAAATTTTACGGAAATATTGATACTTTTATATATATCTTAAATTAAAGCTAATGTAACATACTTTACTATGAAAAAAAAATTCGAATTTTACGTTATCTTCGTGGTGAAAATAGCAACCATATTCAAAAATATGCTTTTTTTATGTTAAAATTCTGAGCTTTGTATTTTATTGTATTTTAAAATATCTTACAAGGGGAGTACACTAATTTTCATAAATATTATATAAATTTATTTCACATAGCATAGAATGTTAAATTTATTTAAATTTTTTTTCTTCTTATAAGAGAATAAAAATAAATTTGAAATATGAACTAGCTCAAATTGCCATTTTTATCCTTCAAGGAAATGTGATGTACGGTTGCTGAGTCAATAACACTTGGGTATTTCACGCTTGAAATACGAAGATTAAACTCCTAAAGGAGATGTATTTTTTGCATTTTTTTACTTAATTCTTTTTGAGTTAGAAAAAAATGTTCAACTCATTTAATATTTACCTCATTTAGATTCAATAACTTCAATGAATATAAAGGACCCCGTCAGTGTAGTTTTCCCTCGTGAGAAGCAATTTCTTATTCATATTAAAATTATTTTACTAAGTGTTTTTTTTTGTGACAGTCATTTATTTTTGAGCTCTCACTTGACCAATTTTTTTGAACGATACATTAAATGATCACAACTAGTATCTAGTCAAAGATATTACCCTCAAAAATTAAAAAAAAAAATACCTTTATCAAATAAAAAGTATTTTAACCAGCTTTCTCTATATAGACAATTCATTAATTTCTAATTTTTAAAGTATTTATTTTCGAATTAGGTTTTATATGGTAATAGGATTCTACTACAAAGTTAAAGAACCCAGCACTGTGGGGACGTGACATAGTTGAGTTCAGTATAGATGATATCTGACAGTGATTAAAATCGCTATCATAAAAAACGCTTCGATGAAAATCTGTAGATAGTGTTTAGTTTTAAAAAATTGGTGGATTATTCCAAAAGCTACATGATCTCTTATTTCCATATTTATATTCTGATTACAAGTTTTATGATTTATAAGTGTAATATATGAATATATATATTTATAATATATAAATATATTAAGGGAGGAAATGGTCCGATTAAAAAAAAAAGTATGTTCCATAAAAGAGTAATATAAATAGTACGTATCTTATTATTATAAAAAAATTATAATGATCCATATATTTTTCAAAAAGTTATAGCATTATTAAGTTAAAAATATAAAAAATGATTTTTTACAAAAATCATATTTTTTTTTATTAACTTTGATATTTGTTATCACCGTGAAGACAAAATAAGTCCGAAATTTTTTTTCCCATAATAAAGTATATTACATTAGCTTTAATTTAAGATATATATAAAAGTGTCAGAGTTTCCTGAACATTTTCAAAAGTAAAGTTGAAAAAGTTGTTATTTTGAATCCCCCCTGTGGGCAAGTAAAGAGTCAGATTTATAAAAAAAAAAATATATCAAATGATAGGTAATAACATCATGCAATTATAAAAAAAAATTATATTGTTTTGGTTATTTTTGAAAAAGTTATGGCAGTTTTAATTAAAAAAAATTGAAGAAATGTCGAAAATTAGCGACTTAATTATTAAATATTAATTACATACTATATTTAATTGCTATAATTAATATTTATTTATAAATTATAATTTAAAATATAAGAACTACTAATCGGAGTATAATAAGGAAATAGGAGTAGATGTTGCTTTGGTTATTAGCCATTAATTTCTTAGAATTAAACACTATCTACAGATTTGCATCGATACACTTCTTATGAAAGTGACTTTAATCACTATCAGATATCATCTATACTTGTCTTATCTATGCCACGTCAATAATGTGCCCCAACCCCATTATGCTATCGTTTTTTTAGTTAAGTTTTCACAATCGTGAAGTCTCAGAAATCGCTTGATTTACTAAGTTATCTTGACTGCACAGGTAAACGATAAAAAATTAACATGCTTATAAATTATTTAAGAATTAAGTATTTATCATTGATGATAAAAAACGCGTAATTATGCAATATTCATTTTTATCAAAAATGTCTCTTATGTTTACTAGACCATTGATTTATTAATTGAAATATTGCACTTACCATATTGTTTTTAAATGAGTGTTGCCACATATTATTGTTCTCAGTCATAATTTTACTATTGTAATTATTAATTAGGTGGTGACAACAACATGTATTAGGTATTAAAGAAAACTGTGATCCTTCAATCGGAGTACATGAGCCTATTAAAAACATAAAACATATTTATGTATAAGAATATAAAATTAAAACTTCGTTGCTATATATTAAATCAGCCACCCTAATCGTAAGCCTTTAATTAAAAACGTTTTATGTCACGCAGATATACTAGTTTAGCTTGATTTTTAACTTGATTAATTTTCTTGCGTCCGTATCCTCAATTTTCTTCGCATTTCTTACTATACTATTACAATTTTTTGTTATTGTCTACAGTGAAATGAAAAATTAAAAATCAAGGTATATAGTTATGTTTACTTTTTGAAGATGCAGTAAATTATTTTTAATATCTTTTTTAAATAAAAAAAAAAGTGGTTTACTTGAAAATCACTTTTAATATTTTATTTGAAAAATCATTCGAAAACAGTACATGATGAAAAAGCACATTAATTACTTATTATTTCAAAGCGGTTAACATATAATTATAAAAACATAATTTTATAAAAAATAGGTTTGTTAACAGGTAACCTATGTTTAAGTAAAGTTTAAAACAGAGAATCTTAAGCATGATATAATTATGGTATTGTAATTAATAATAATATAATAAGTTAGGGTTTTAATCAGTGGTATTTTAAGGTGTATACGTATACTCATTTATAATTTTTTAAATCAACGTATACATAAGAAAAATAATACTTATGTACTATTTATATTGAAGGGTATACACTCAAATCAGCGTATATCCTAAAATAAAAAAAAAGGGTTTTTTGCAAAAACCTCACTGGTTTTAATCACAGCTCCAATTAATTAGGTTCATAGACATAGTTTCTACTAATATATATAATGTGGGAGCCACATACTTGTCCATGGCGTCGGAGATCCTTTTCGGATATTGTTTACTATAGTTGGGGATCTGTCACGTACTAAACTATTTTCGCTTCCCGATGATGAGTGGAACAATAGCCCCGGTTGCAAATTATGATGCATTCTTGAGCATTGTTCTAAATTTTCCTATAGTAATTATCAATTGTTAATCAAATAAAATATTAATACTTTATACAGTTGAAATTTATTATTTTAAGTTGTTACCTGTAAGTTTTCCATGACGGTTTTCTGGACACGTATAACCGAATGAAAAACTCGTATTAATAATTATTTATCACAACATAATTCGATGATGTACTATTGGTTTTTTTTATAAATTGTAAGTCCTTTAATTCTTTGTGTATCTAATATTAAAATCAAGCTAATAACTGAACGCTTTGCTTCCATTATAGATAATAAGAAGATGATCATTGTAAACAGAGCGTTATATGAAATGTTTATAATAAACTTCCTGTATCGTTTAGCCCACTCGTATAATATTCTAAATGGAGTAAGTTGTGGCCATGAAAAAAATATTATCCTATAAATATGTTTTTTGGCGGAAATTCGAGTGAATAAGTGTATTAAAATGTAATAAAAATATAATATACACGTTTTCCATGAAACTAAATATTTTTTTTTTCATTTACGGAGGATTAACAATACTTGGATTTTTGCCATCTAAGTGCGTGGAACATTAAACGTGTTGTTCCTAGCATTTAAATAAAAAAGTAATATAAAAATAATAGATTGAATAGGTATAAAATAGGAAGTGTAAAATACTATGAAGAGGCGCGTAAATATTATAAATTATTTTATATTATTTCTTTTAAAATATCTGTAGCAATATTTTAATGAGTGTAGCTTGGAAAATTGATCTGTTGGGATTACTTGATAATATTAGATAACAAACTTTACCACATTGTTCTATCTTTCTCTCTTCGCAAAAAATTTCACTTATTTATGGGGTCTTCAAATGTTTATATGGGGGCTAAAACCCAATGCAAACTTTGCCTATGAATATTTTAGTTTCATCCATTGTTTTTTAGTGAATACAAGTTGGTATAGGATATTTTGAAATATTTAATAACTTAATATATACTAAATATTTTGTATTATTTAAAAATGATCTATGTATTCTTAGATTACGTTAAATTCATATATATATATATATTTTTAATTTCATAAGAGCTGCTTTTAGAATTTTTTTAAAAAAAATTTTATTAGGTCAATTAAAATTTTAATTTGAGTACTTATTGAATTATAAGCATTTTAATACAATAGAATGTGTGTATAGCGTAAGTGAGTACAACACTTTACTGGTGTATATATATAATGCATGCTCCACCCATGTTATATACTCAACTCAAATAAAAACGGTCTTTTAACATTTAAAAAAATAATTATTTGTTTTATTATTAAAAATAAATAATAAAAATGTGATTCAATTAAACCATCAATTATTTGTAAAAAAAAGTAACACACAGCATTTATATATACAAGGGTGTTCAGTAAATAAGGAAACGAATTTCTATTGTACTCATTGTTTGTAACAATTTAACTGTTTCCTAACTTACTGAACACCTTGTATATATATTTCAATACAACGCAAATTATTTGGTAGATAGAAAGTTATTAATTTTGTAAAAACAACGTATTCCTCTCTGTATATTTATTTTTTTTAAATTGTAAAAATATTAAGAAAACTATAAAAAAAAATGTAGAACTAAATATAATAGAAAATTTTTTACATGTATATTTATAATTTATGTTTTCAACAGTACATATAAAACATAATTAACGATCTTGATAATTATTTCTCTTTATTATTATTTTTTGTAAAATAGAGATTTTAATTAAAAGATTATTATGGCCGATGAGCCAACTATAGTAATTAAATTAAGTATGAAATCCAATAAAATTGTTACCTATGCCAGGGCCACTGAATTTTAACTACCATTATTGTATGCAAAAATAGTAAAATGTCCTTCTAAATCAAATGTTTAGTAATTATATTTCTTTTGTTAAATTTGATGAATTTTAGTTTCTAATTTATTTGGGAAGTAGTCATTCATTACGTAATTAATTATATTAAAAAAGGATTAAAATTAATAAAAAGCTTTATTTATTTAAGAAATGGAATTTTTAAATTAGTTTAATAAATTATTAGTTTTTATTTGAATAATAAAACTCTTTGTAGTATTGCATACAATTCTATTAAATGCTTATGAAAAATAATTTATACTTGAAAATTCTTCTATTTTAAATTCCCAATAAATTTTTATTTAATAAAAAATATTTCGTTATAATAAGACCAATTGATATGTGTTAATGAAGTATTATAAAATCTTTAACTTTCTTTTTGTTTCACACATAATTTTCTAAGACCACAATTTTTTACGATGAATTTTTTTTTTTTTGATATTTTTAACTAAAAGTATTAAAAAAATAATTATTGTACAATTTATACGTCCACATAAACAACATGTTCTTTTTAATTTTGTTTTAAAATTATTTTATTATATAAGAATATTTAGAAAAAAGTATATATTGATATCTGACTGTAATTTACATAACTACCATAAATCGCATCAATGGGAATAGGTTAATTTCTGATTGAGACTGTTAATAGGGTGGTCCTTATTTTTTCGAATTTCGAAATTTCTTTCGGGACACCCCTCCATTTTTTTCTTTAGTATAAAAAAATAATATTCTGAAAATTTAAAATCATTTGGAAAAATTTAAATCGAGGCGCGCAGCATTTTAAGGTTTTTACCTCGAATTTTCGAAGAATATTCTATAAAACGTAAAAAAAACTTATATTAGAGGTTTTCAAGTGATTTTTTCAATAAAAGTCAAGATACAAAAAAAAAAAAAACCTTATTTAAAGACAAATATTTTGATATATTATTTTTAAAAATTTATTGAATTTTTTACATGCGATAACAATATATTGATAATTTAAAAATAATTAAACAGCTTATTTTTTATACTTCGTTACTTTAATGATTTCAACACTCCATTATAAACTTTTCAAATGTTTATACTGACTTGAATATAAATTAATTAAGTTATTAAGTTGAATTTTATAGCATTGAACTAGTATTAGTTGAAATAAATCATAAAAAATGAAATAAAATTTAAAAAATAGCTTTTTCTGAAAATTTGTAAAAAATTAATAATATTAAATATGTAGTTTTTTTAATTAATGAATAATAACATTTTTTTATTTTTATGAAATAAAATAAAATGAAATACTATAAAAGTGCATTATATCTTTTATTTATATTTATCCATATGTCCTAAAAGTTTTGGGATAAAGTTGATTTATTGCTATTAAGATAAATTTATCTGTGTTCAGACACCACTTGCAATAAATATTGTTTTTGTTTTTCATCTTTTATTAAAATATTGTTGTAATCTTCAATTAATTTTACGCCTCTTTCTGCAACATCGTTTGAAACTTTTAATTTATTTACGGTGTTCAATCCTGTTATGTAGTCGTCATTATGTTCCCACAAAATAGGATCTATTTTTAGAAATCCATACTTATATTAAAACGTTTAAAAAAGTTGTTTGATTCAGTAGTAATGAAGTCTTCTATATTCATATTGATTATTACTTTAATATCTTGAGATTGTAAAAAATATTTTTTTGTTCCTTCAAATTTATTATTTGTTTTCAATGCTCAAACCATTTTTATTTTATTATTTATGGGAAAATTTGTATCAAAAAATTCTAGTGCTGCATTTTTAGTGCTGCAAAAAGTATACAAGCACCATTGAGACGTCCAGTATTTGATGCTGTTGTATCACAATATAAAGCCTGAACTTTATCTACAAGACCCCACTGTTCTAAGGCATTATAAACCGCTAAATCCTGGTTTTTTCCATTTCCGGATGGCAACTTAGGCACACTTATTAATTTTTCTTCACCTTTATAAGTTATAACTATTGGTAACCTATCAATTAGCTCCTTATTTGTTAATGACGAGAGCAATTTTCCATCCCAATGAACAGTTATAGCATCCATGTTGGTTTTAAAAAAAAGAGTGTTAACTTTAGTAGCATAATATTTTCGAAAATTTTCACGAAAACGATGGATCGAAGAGCGATTAATGATTAAGTCACTTACATTATGACAGCTGTAGCTGTTAGTACAAATACCGCATCTCTATCAGATAATTTACAACGATCCAATGTTGCAGCTAGATTTTCTGTCATAATATTTTTCTGCGCCCTTTTTCTTTTAGTTATCTTTTTAGAACTATAAAAACCACTGATTCTAATGACGAGTTGTGCAACGAAAATCAATACTACTTGATGACTGAAATTCAACAGTCTCAACTAAAATTTTTAATGATTATTATTAATTGTATAATGATTATTGCTTATAATGGTTATAAACATTCCAAAAATTTATTTACATTGTTCTTTTTCTTCTTCAAATTTTCGTTTTTGATTAATTTCTTTTGCTAGTTAACAAGAACTTCGCCATGATTCACTTCAAAACAATCATTTTTACTTGTACTTCTAAAATAACCTTTCTGCTTTTGGTTATTTAGATATAATTTAGTTTCTTCACAGTCAATTGTATTCATAGCATCTGTGTGTGCTATATCGCATAGACAAAACATTTTGTCTATAAATTTTTGTTCTTTAGCAATTCGTGTCAAATTTCTTCGTTTTCTCGATTTGTTCAATGATTTCATTCTTTATACAAACCTTCTACTAGAATAATACTATGCTGATTTTTTTTTACTGGAATATTTTCTTTAGTCCAAAATACTTCTATTTCTTTAATAACTAATGTTATAAAACACTACTACGAATTTTTAAATTTACTTTTCTTAAATTATAAAATAAAACTTTTAATACTTAACCATTTGTGGGCAAATCAACACCAACAATTTGGTTTTCGTAATTACCAATTAGAAATACATAACTGCTAGATCTTTTTGCTATTATAAAAATTATAAATGAGTTAATTACGTAAATGTAAAAAAAAACAATATAAATGATGAAATATAATAAAAAGATTCACAGACAATATAAATAATAGCTTGCTGTACTACATTAAATAAAATTCGACTTGAATGATGAAAATTTTAAAATATTACATTTAACATATCATGGTTATAGGTAAACCTCTACAATTATAGATTTTAGACTAATACAACACAAGATAAGATAAACATTTATCGATCTTGTCTATGATTAAATGCGAAAATGGTCATGTGTTGATTGAATATTACAAAACTAAAATTGATTTAAAGAAAAGTCACTCGTGGTACTAAAGAAATACTATAAATAATCAAATAATTAAATTAAAAAAAAAACAAAAAGATATATAAAATTAAAGATTAACAAATTTAGTAAAGCAAAAATTTTTTTTTTTAATTTAAAGCTATTATTAAGTTTTATTTCATTTTTTATGATTTATTTCAACTAATACTAGTTCAATGCTATAAAATTCAACTTAATAACTTAATTAATTTATATTCAAGCCAGTATAAACATTTGAAAAGGTTATAATGGAGCGTTGAAATCATTAAAGTAACGAAGTATAAAAAATAAGCTGTTTAATTATTTTTAAATTATCAATATATTGTTATCGCATGTAAAAAATTCAATAAATTTTTAAAAATAATATATCAAAATATTTGTCTTTAAATAAGGTTTTTTTTTTTTGTATCTTGACTTTTATTGAAAAAATCACTTGAAAACCTCTAATATAAGTTTTTTTTATCGTTTTATAGAATATTCTTCGAAAATTCGAGGTAAAAACCTTAAAATGCTGCGCGCCTCGATTTAAATTTTTCCAAATGATTTTAAATTTTCAGAATATTATTTTTTTATACTAAAGAAAAAAATGGAGAGGTGTCCCGAAAGAAATTTTGAAATTCGAAAAAATAAGGACCACCCTACTGTTTATTAATATAAAAACAAGTACTAGAAAATAATTAGAAAAATTGTGTTTTTTTTTTAAGCGATTTTACCTAGTACACTAAAAACTTTTTCATTTTTTTTTTTTAATTATATAAAACGTTTTAAAATTTTTCAAAAAAGCATATCTAAAGAAAGATTATTGCCTAGACTGATTTTGATAAAAGTTTGGTTTAGTTAAGAAAATTTTTTAAACTCTTACACAATATGAAAGTAATTGAAAAAATTTTACAATATTTGCTTTAACGGCAAATAACCCATAGTAGACTTAGGTTTATTTTTGAAATCATTAAGTATTCAAAAAAAGCTTTAACTTGAAATAGGTTAAAAAAATTGTACCGGAACTTTTTTTAAAAATTCAGTTTAAAAAAATGGTAATTTTTTTAATTTTTAAGAGAAATGTCTTCAATAATATATAATTCGGATGTTTTTGGCTTTTTGATTATCAATCCAATGAAAACTGAGAATTTTATCGGATTGACACAAAAAAAAAAACACAATTTGGTAAATAAATACCTGCAAAGATTCGTATTAAAGCTGATATTTATTTTCGATCTTCGTTATCAATTTTCGTTGTTCATAAATAATTTACATTTGCGTATTTAAAAAAGGACACAGCGGCACATGCTTTCCTTATTGACCGAGTGATGCTGTTATTATTTTGATTATCGATAATAACATGTTTTTAAAAATAATGTTGGTATAAGTTGTCTTATAGAGCAAAATTCAACGCCCAGTAGGGATGTCTCAGAAATCTAATTATTTATTATTAACAATTACGCTGAATTTTATATTTTTGAATTATTTAATACGTAGAAACATCTTTGATATATTTTAAGTTAATTTTTATATGCCTGTTTTTAATTTTAAAGTCATTCTAATGACTTGTCGTCTATGAGTTATAAGCCTTTAAAAATTATATTTATATAACTTTTTATGGATACGATAAATTTAACTGTTTCAATAATATATGTTTAAAAATAAAATTTTCAGTGGTAATATATAATACAATTAAATACATTTCATTAAATCCAAATATTATGTAATTATTGGTAAAAATTATAGATTTTAAATTGTTTTACATAGCAATGGATCATTTACATCATTCAAAATTAAATCATAATATAGCTTATTTAATATATTTTATGATTAAAAAAAAATAAGAGACGTTCGGACGAATAAAGTCGAAAATAATGTCATTTTGGAGTATACAGGGTGATTTTTTTATCATAACCCACTCAATTACTTGCAGAATAATAATAATTTAGACATTTTTTTTCCATTATCTTTAGTTACACATTATTCTTGAATTTTTAACTATGTAATACTTTTTAAGTTCATCCCTTATGCCTTGGAAGGGGGTCAACTTTGTTTTTTTAAATGGTAACACATATTTTTAATTTAATAAAATGTTTGAGTTTTTAATTTAATAGTAAATGGCATTTGAATTTTTAATATAACTTAATTCGTTTATTAGATATAATCATTTAAAGTTTCAAATTTTTGAATTAATATACAGGTATAATACACAAGGGATTACAAATACAGGTAGCTAATTGGTTTTTTATAACATCGATATTAGCAGGTACACAGCATTGTTATTATCAATTGTAGTAAGGCACATTGTTATGAGTTTATAAATACACTAACTGACAATACAGAAAGTATATCTATTGATAATCATAATTGATAATAAACAATCCGTGACTGAGACAGCAATGTCATAAAAATCCAATTAGCTACCTGTATTTACAATCCCATGTGTATTATACATGTATATTAACTCAAAATTTTGAAACTTTAAATGTTTATATCTAATAAGCTAATAAAGTTATATTAAAAATTCAAATGCCATTTACTATTAAATTAAAAACTCAAACATTTTATTAAATTAAAAATATGTGTTACCATTTAAAAAAACAAAGTTGACCCCCCTCCAAGGCATAAGGGATGAACTTAAAAAGTATTACATAGTTAAAAATTCAAGAATAATGTGTAACTAAAGATAATAAAAAAAAAAAATGTTTAAATTATTATTATTCTGCAAGTAATTGAGTGGGTTATGATAAAAAAATCACCCTGTATGTTAATTTTTTCAAATACACACCAAAGCGTTTTATAGCAACGATTTTAATAACTATCAGATATTAATCAGTACTAATTTCAAAATACCTTATTCCAATTTACTTCCAATTTTTCAATTTTTATATAGGTATGATTTTAATAAACAACGTTATGAGCAAAAAAAGGTCATCTAAATGTTGTTTTCCTTTTGTTCTACCACCACTATACATTTCTAAATACGCCTCTTATACTTTCTTTATATTTCACAAATTAGAAAATTTACTAAATTTTTCTAGTCTTTTTAAGTAAAATTAATTTTTTTACCTTCAAAGGTAGTTGTCTAGTAGGACTGCTGCTGCTATCATAAACGTTGTGAAGTCCAAGTTTTTGGCTACTTTTTGCTAATGCATTAATTGCCCATTGTTGCTGTCTAACACGTCTAGACCTAAACGAATTTCTTAGCTTAATCTTTAAACTGCCTCTGGTATTACCAGCTGTACGTCTGTCACTTGGTGTTCTGTACAATCTTTCAGTAGGCTTTCTAGTACTGGTGAAGTTTTCATGCTGTTTTAATATCAACAACTCCTTATTAGATGGTCGGCTCATTAATTCCTGTTTTCTTAATGGTAAGTTCATTTGGGGTACACTCACATTTCTTTTTGGTTTATTGGCCAATGATTGGTGCTCAATACTATCCATTACAGAACCTACTACCTCAATTACTGTTGTTGCATCGGTAGTTCTCGATGCCATATTTATTTCAGAAAAATAGAAGTTAATGTTTTGATGATGTTGACGTTTTTTCTTGAATTTTTATTAGTCATTTGCTGTATAAAAATTAAAACAGATAATATTAGTTAAAATATCTATATTGAAAAAATAATCTAAATTTTCATTAAAGCTTATTTTTTTTTTAATCACGGAGGATGCAATTAATAAAAAACAAAAAAGAATAAATCATGAAAATATCTTAACATGGAAATAATAATTCATTGCGATAATTTGTAGATTAGTATTTCTATTATGGGTTAAGTCAATAAATATTTTAATAAACTAAGACAAGTATAGTTTCCTCCAAAACATAAAATTTTTCGTAATTTTCCGAAAAAGATATTCATATTAAGTGAAGTGATATAATTGTAAATGCATTTGTTTAGATAAATGTACAACGTATTACTTTTAACTTTCATTTAATATGATAGCAACTTATATAAGGTTAAAAACCTAAAATAAAATCTACTAAATATTAAAAAAAAAATTAATTTACAATTACTCCATTCGTTTATATTCACCTCACTTCACCATATTTAAATAAATTAATGAATTTAAACAGCGTTGTATAAAGCTTAGGATAATTATACATTTTTATACTCGTGCACACTAAACATTATTTCTAGATCTTGCAGTTGACCTTTTAAAATAAATTATAAACAAGGTGTAAAATTTGATGGTTTATCTAATTTACTTTACGATAGATTCAATTATTATTTTTATTTTTTGTAACCTATGAAAAATGTATAAATAGTAGTATTAAATATTTTGATAAGGATCAGTAGTGAACTATCTACGAAACCAAGAAGTATCCGCATTGAGTTACTTTAAATATATATAAATTTAAAATAAATGGTTTTTATTTTTAAATATTTTTAATAAAAATAACTAACGGAGTTTTTGATTGTTGAGAGTGACTTTTACTTTTATTAAAATATATATTTTATCCTTTATCATTGGAAAGATTGTCACTTATTTTTTGGACGTACATATTTTCAGATATTTTAATCTTTATTAGTTAACGGTCATATTATAAAAAACTTGACATTTAAACTGTAAATGTCAACTTTTAACTGGATATAATTATTTTTCACACTTTTGAGCTGTACGTTGGCTGTTATAGTTTATATTTTAAACATTTTTATTTAACATAAGTTTTTAAAATATTTAACAAATGTATCAATTGTAAATATTTGTAGAGGTAATTTTTAGATTATGACAAATTATACAATTTTGGCGCGGTGGTCACACTAGTTGTTAACAAAACTTTAGTGTTAAGCCGCGCTTACCGCCGTAGGAGAACAGATGGGTGACCATGCGTGCGCTTCTACGGTGGCGAAAAAGCACCATGTTCTCAGTGCAGAAGGCAACGGGAAACCACTGCACTTAAATTTCTCCAGGATATACTAATCCAGTTGGTATTAACCAACCTAACGGTTGGTTAATAAAAAAAGACAACAATTAATAATTTTAAATGTTATTAATATTCTTCTGTTTTTTTAGTGTTTGACATGGCAAATTTAGCTGATAGTGGAATATTATCAATTTAAGTTTTTTAAGGCTTTCTATTTAAAAGCATTGATTTTTCTAAATTATTATTTTTTATTAATTTTACAGTTATTGCTAATTGCTTGATATAACAACTCTTTAATTTTCCTTAATAATTCCTTAATTTGATTAAAAATTATAAAAATTAAATTTAATTAAATTAAAGATAATTTTTTTTGGAAAGATTGGAGCATCTATACATTGTGTTCTTTTTTATATTGGAATTAAAATTATTATTATCATTCTATTTATCTTTAACGTTTACCTTTAAAACTATACTTATATTAGAGAGGGCGGGAAAACATTCATAGTCTAGTGAAACAGAATCGAAATCCGAACACATCAAGACACAACGTGTTCCCAACTTGCTAAGTAGGCCGCCTTCAAACATACTTGAATAAATATATGGGATTCTTATTCACAATAGTGGATATTAACTAGTTAATACCCAAAAAAAGTTAAAAAGTTAATTTTTTTGAATTTTTCAACTTACCTAGTTAATTTTTTTCTAATAAACTTTTTAACTTAACTAATTTAATTTTCCATTGAAATAACTTAGCTTTTTCAGTTAATTAGTTAAAATAACAGTTAAACTAAATTCAATTACATTTAATTAAAAATGTATGTCTTTATACGTTGCGAACGTGGTTTAATTTAAAATAAAAACGGTAGCACAATGCAGTTGCAGCATAGTGGGGACGTGGCATAGTTGAGACAAATATCGATGATATCTGACAGTGATTAAAAGACTAACACTATCATAAGAAACACTTCGATGTAAATCTGTAGATAGCGTTTAATTTAAAAAAAATTTGAGGATTATTCAAAAGCGAAATTGACTCCTAATTTTTGTTCTACTTCGATTGTCATTTGCACATGAAAAATAAATCGTTGATACAAACTTCTAGTACATAAAATAAGCTTTATTTTATCATATATATATATATAAATTTTCAAATTTTCAAAAATTTTAAAAAGCTATTCTTAAATTTGAAGAATAAAAATAATCAAAATAATTATAAATTTATGTTTAATGTAAGTTAGATCATATAAATTTTATAGTTATTAGTAGACTCATCTAATAGTAGACAACTATGCAAAAATAATTAGACGACATTGTATTTGGAACAAAAATATTCTGAGGCAATAAATGTGTAGAAACATTGATCTAGCCAAATGGTAAGGGCCAAATGGTTAGGTTGTATCCAACCTAAAAATATAATTACTAATTCCAAAAACTCTCTGTAGTCATCTCTTGGTAGATTTTCGTTGAAAGTTTTGCCATTAATAGTAATTTATGTCAAATAACCAAGATATTATTTCAACATTGACAAAGCAAATATAGTTAAAGGGAATTGCTTGATTGAATTAGGATAATAGTTTTTAACAAAATACATTACATTTTATACAATACATTCAATACATTGAAATATTCATTATTTTTTAAATTTTTACACTTAAATTGTAGTACTAAAAAAAAATTACGTTAATACCTTTTTTTTTATGCGTAAGTTTTTAAAAATATTTTTTAGATTCAATATTTTCGTATTTGTAATATTTGTAGAAATAAACGTTAAAGATCAAAAAAACTATGTTTCGCAAAAAATAAAATTAAACAGTTTTTATTAGTTAAACGTTTAACAATCAAAGTTACAAAAAATTCGTAAAGACTTTTTTTTTTTGCATTATTGTTTACTGCATTATTAATTCTGTGGAATTTTTTTTATTTATAATAATTAATCTATTATATAATTAATCTATCTATAAAATAATCTACTAAGCTTAGTGACATTGTTACAATGAAATAAAAAATCATAAAACTTAACTTCTATTTCGTTGCCTATATCCCAACGACTTGGGGTCAGCAACCCTTATCTTAAACTTCCACTTGACACGATCTCCTACATCATCTACTTACAGATCAATCGATATCATATCACATTTAATCACATCCCTCCATCTTTTTTCAAAAATCATAAATCAATAACTATGTATATTAATCTATTGTACTTTCAGAATGTTTTTAGGAGTAATTTATTTAATATTATAATATTGATTGTTTTTACTAGGGTTATATTTAATAACATTGTTTAAAAATAATTGAGAAAGACTGTATGTATCATACCATTATTTTCCATTAAGTTACGCCCATATTTTATTACGACTCATGTAATGAAAATTATTTTCAAATGAGTAATGAGTATTATTTATGTAAGCAAATTAGTTTATACAATATAAATATATGATTGCTTAAGCAGTAATATATTAATATCATCACAATCAATTTTTAAACCTTGTTTTTTTTATTAGATAGAATAATTAAGTATTACTGGTACTATATATCAAATCTAAAAATAAATTTCATTATTCATAAAATAACAAGAACTTCAATATCTTGAAATCAATTACAAAATGATATTTCACAATAAACTTATAAGTAAAAATAATTCGAGTTTTGAAAAGATCAAACAATTTGTGTGACAAAGATAAGCATTTATTCTTCAATAATGCAACGGACTATTTTGTATGTATTTAAATTAACCTTATTTTAATAGCAGGATTTCAAGATAGTCCTTAAATGAACATTTCATGTTAATATATTAATTTTAAACTATTTAAAATATTAATACTTCCTGTAAAATTATCAAATACTTTAGTTTGTGATATGATGTGCTAAATTTATTGTTACGCAAACTCTTCACTATCGTTCAAGTGACGTATATACTGTGACGGGAAACGTGCAAAATATGTGTACCATTATAATTATAATAGCAATAAAAAAGTCTGCATTTGCAAGTCACTCCGGAACAATAAAAATAATAAAAAACAAAAACTAAAAATTAAAGCGTTTCTATATTCGGTGCCATGTCGCGTTATTCTTCGTTACCCATATTTTAACCTTCAGGCCGTTCTGGTTGGCCAATACAACACACGCTATACCTACGTATAATGTATATAGTATTTCTTATTTTTTATTCGTTATCGTATTTTACACCTAACCTCAATGAGATATAATATTACACTATGACTATAATAACAGTAGTAAAAGTGCGAAAATTCTAAAAAGTGAAGTCCAAATTGACTATTAGAAATTTAAACTAGTAAACTTTTTTTTAATTAATACCAACAACGCATTTTTATTTTATATATTAAACCAACCGTCAAAATCATAAATTTCCATAAAATTTAAAATGAAAAACAGCAATTAAAAAATTATATAGTTGATTAATATCTACGTGTAGCATAATTATTTAAGTAGACAATCATGTTCCGCCTCTTAACGTTCGTCACACAATTCATCATTTTTCACGTTGAAAAATTCACATGACAAATATGTAATTATTTTCATTCGCGCTTAGAGTCAGCTGTGAAATTACTTATCTAATTAACGCAAGTACCTATTAGTCTGATTTTAGTGTAAATTTCTCTGCGTGATAAATAAACATTCGGGCATAAATTATTAAATTTTGGTGTTATAAGAATTAAAACGTGATGATATTATTATATGATAATATGATATATCATAATACTATTATGGCCACTGACGTAGATATAGATTATTTATAAAGGAGTTCAATACATGAATCCAAATCATTATTTCTAATTTAATTTGGTAACTATTAAAAAAAATTGTGTAAGAGGGTTTAACTATTTCTTTTACATACGTTCCTGATTATGGCGTAATCGGAAGTTTTTCTGGAGTAGTGTTTTATCTTATTGTATCTTATAATATTTAACAATATTGTACTCGTTATTCGTCTATCAATAAACTCTATTCAAAATTAAAATGACATAAGACATTATTATTTTTTTTATAAATAATAAATGCTGTATATAACACCAAGATTGTGACAATTTATATAAATAATTCAGTGAATGAAAATAAGTTAATTTAGAACTTTAACCAAAGGCCACATAGAGTTGATATTATTTACTAAATTAAAAAATGCATCGGTGACAGATATGTACTACAAATGTTTAATAAAATAACTAATTGTCTTTGTTATCATAATTTTTTTATTTCAATACATAATATTATTTTTGGTCTAGTTCAATTTGTATATTTTTTGAAGGACACTATTTTTTTAATATTTTCATTTACTATATTATATAAAATTAAACATATTGTCATATTGTACCAGTTAAGTGCATTTTTTCCATAAGCATACATTTGCATACAATTTTTTTATACGAAAACGTTGATTTAAAAAATATTATGAATTTAAAAAAATACAATCATATGAATAATTATAATTAAAGAAAATTTTTGAAAATAATCACACGCTATACTTTGTCATTTTTGTTATAATTAAAATAAGACTGCTTTTATAATGTTAAACAAATTAATTTTGAATATTAATCAATTGTAGAAGTATGAAATGTTACTTTTTATAATCAAAAAAGAAAATCAAATGAAACTCTTCGAATCAAATTACTTCAACAATATATCAGTAATTAAAAAGAAACATTATATGGAATAATCAAAGCATTTTTAATAATAAATGGTTATTACTTAATAATTTTTGTTTAAACCCAAATGCCAAATTAGACCCTAATATTTAATAAAATGGTTGAAAAATTCATTAAATCTCAAAAATTAGGATATACCTTGATAAAATTGATAATTTTTTTATTAACAATAAAAATTTCATTTGTTTATTATAAAGGTTGACTAAAGATAGAAATTAGCAACCTAAATTATTTTGTAGTATTATGAACATTTAAAGCATTTTGTGATTTAGAGTCCGAAATTGTCTTAAAATGTTTGATTATTATAATTTACTATTAATATACATAATAATTACATTGGTTAAATTCTATACAATTAAGTAACAATGAAAACTTGAGAGATTTCTCATATTACACTTAAGTAAAGGCAAGATTTTCCATAATTTAAAGAGCCTTGTCATTAAATTTACTAATTCTTTATATAGCTTTACCTGAGATAATAATCTGAATCTTAAAACAACTTAAGCCGAACACATTGTTATTATAATTATTACTATTCAATTTATATTTAATGTTTTCTCTGAAAGAAATGATTTCTGTAAAAAAGGAAGGGTTTAGGCTTAAAAGATTTTAGTTGTTAGAGAAGTAGGAAAGAACTAGCCATGTACTCAGATTGTAAGTCAGGGTGCACATTGTACTATTACCTTCTCAAACTTGAAAAAGCACGAAATATTTTTACAATATTTATATTAAATTATAATTTAAAGGTTTGATGAGCTAATATTATCAACCGTAGGTTTGACGACAAATGATTTTAATGTTATTGTGATTGAGCGAATGCATTGATCATACGATTAATTTTCTTTCAATAAAAAACCAATTGGCAAATAATTATTTAAAAATAATAATTAATTGTTATCTGAAGACAACTCACTAGTTACCTATTATTCGAACTCTTGGCCTCTTCTCTACAGTTAATTGATCCCAATCAGTTATATTACGATCGGCACTATTGAAAGAACAGTTTAAATTTTACATTAAGTGAACCTACATCAATACGTTTAATAGTAGCGAAATTTCATGAGCAAATAGTTGATAGATATGAATAGGTAGAGCCAAAAATAAATGTTGAGAACATCTTATATAAACGATATTATTCTGTTTTACATATGAATATAACGGGAAAAAGAATTGTACGTGAACTCTTCTTAAAACACTAATAATTTACAGAATTTATTGTAACATATTACCTATTTATATAACATTTAAATAAATTAAATATTACTTTTAAATTTCAACATATCATTAAATGTTTAATAACTGAAACAGTAATTTAATTTAAAAATATTAATGTTTTTCTCCCATATAAAAACGATTAATGATAAATTTATAATTTAATAATCACTTCTTTTTCTTGAGAAAAAATCTTTAAAAAAAACATTTATGAATTTTGAGATACTAGGCCCTATTATTTTTACTTTTCATTTATTATATGTTTATAAAATTGCTCAATTAAATTTATTGAACATTATTGAAGACTCCGCGGACATTTTATAATCTTTGATACACATAAATCTAATTTATCTAGCCATTAAGGTTTAAGTGTTATCCCGCTGAGAATGACAAAATTAATGAGTATATATCAAAACAATAAAAAAAAAAAGTATATATTAATAGTCCATGGTATTTAATTTATAGGGATATATAACACTGAGTATTATAGAATTTTATAGTTGTTCCATTGAAAAGATACAATCTATTCTGCGATTGTACTATTGACAAAATAAACTCAACAGATGAACAATACATTTATAAAAACAAAATGATACTTCCTAGATTGAATTGTATTAATAAATACAATTATTATGGATTAATGCTAAAACTTGAACTAATATACTAGTAAAAAAATTATTTTCTACAGATCAAAAAAATTGTTTCCTAAATATATGCTCAATTTTTATTAGAAAAAGGAAAATAAAATAAATACGTTTCAATCAAATTATTTAAAATTAATATTAGCGTATTTGTAGAAAGCGGCACACATTGATATAAAATTTTTGAAGAAATTTCCTGTTCCTTGACGTAAAAATGTTAAAAAATAAAAATTTTTTTCTTACACAAAATAGCTTCTATATAATAATGCATGTAATTTTGTTAAATTTCTGGAGGAACTAAATCCCTCCTCCTATCACCTTATCCGACGCCTATGTTACTGTTCTAAAATATGACTGGATTTCTAATATAAGTACCAACCAAGAGTCGCTTAAAGTGATACATGATAAACGTGTTCAAATTTTTAAGATTATAAGTTGTGTTAATTTATTTGTAAAACAATTATAATTCCTAATATATTCAGTCTTCATTCAGAAGCAGAAAATTCTTTTTTTTGTCAGATTATTTCACCTAAAAATCCATAAAATAGTAAACAGAAACAGATAATTATTAAACAACTCAAAAAAATCTACCTACGACCCTTATTGTACTTAAAAATATTTTAATTTAGTAGGAAATAAAAATAATGATATGTATTATATGTATTTTNACCCTTATTGTACTTAAAAATATTTTAATTTAGTAGGAAATAAAAATAATGATGCAATATGTATTTTTCTAATGTGTTAGTTCGTTTATAGGTAATTCAGAAATATTGGTCGTTAAAAATATACGAAATATTTTTAAATATTCTCGTGGGAAAATAGAGGATAGATTTTTCACAATTATAGGCTTGTGCTCACATTCGTTACAAAGTACAATAACATGATTTAAATTTTAGACAAGACGAAACTTTAAAAACAAGTTATATGATCGCTGGAAGTATTAATTACTAATATGAAATTGCGTTCCTGGTGTTTTAAAATTATTTTACAATATATATGCAGATAGTAATTTAAACTACATCATTATCCGTAATAATTATGTACTAAATTGTTTGACTTTGATAATATCAAATGATCGATATAGTAGTTTTTAAGTGCTATTATGTAAATAAAGTAAAATAATCACTGTATAATTAGTAATAAATAACTGATTAAAGTATTTATTGTTCGATGTTTACTTACCAAAAATACATACATTGATTGCCCTCGAATAATTTGTTGTAAAATGATCCAAATGCATAGTTTAATTGTATATACAAAATAATATTAATGTAAAGAAACAGTAGTATTATTTAATAAAATATTAATTTTTGACAATGAATAATCACGAACAGCCGACAACAACTCTTAACACTGAACCTATTGTTATAAATGCGTGACAGAAACTTCTACTGTACCATTAATTCTGTACGTCATTTGGGTGGAGATATAATATCATTCGCATGAAAATAAATTCATTATTGTGGTTGGTCGTTAAATTTACCCATTACATAATGCCAGTTGTAAGATTAATAGTAAAGTTAAAGAAGGTATATTTTCATTGAAAAAGTTCTTCAGCTTTTTGTTATGACACTTTTCAATATAACTGGAATGTTATTTGTATAGTCTATTAAAGATATCATATATTTTTAATTTATAAATAGGTTTTTAATCATATTGGTAATATTTACAATTCATGGTTAAATAATTTTTATTCCAAGAAATTGTTCAATGAATTATCCTATTAAAATGTTAATTTTATGGTTCGAAGACATACGTTATGATTTATAACCTCTTAAAATCACCTTACTGTTTGAAAAAATTTTATTGATTAACAAAAAAAGATAAATTTTAAAAACATAGAGTACATCGATAAAAATAATATGTACACCCTTACGCCATATTTTTAGCTTCAGAACGAACTAATCTTAATTTATTGATCCAAAATTCTTAACAATTAAGTTATGACGACCACATTTTTTTAGTTAACAGTTTTAAGAATTGAAGTTGAAAAATTTAAGTACTATAATTAACCAATCAACCCTGTCTTGAAATATTATCTATAAAAAATCATTAGAACAGTTACCATCGGCAGAAATATTGAATATTTTTTTTGATGGGTAGAGGCCAAAAGTAATTTACTATTATGAAAAAAAAATAACTTTATACAATGGAAATATTTTTTTTTATATTTATATGTTAAATATATTATTGATATGAATAGTTATATCACTTATACAAACAATAGTTCCAATGAGATTTCTTTTAAGGTCGTATTAAGAAATTCATAATTAAGGTTTAAAAGGACCCAAAAAGGAACAACAAACATTTTTATAATAGCATGCCGATTGGAAGGGAGGCATACGCCCCTGTGCACTCTATAAATATGTTATTTCCACTATATTCATTTAATTATATTGCAAAATTAAAATATAATGATGAAATTAATGTTTAAAAAATTAAAACATAATTTAATTGAACATTATTATTTGAGTCAGAGCGGAGAAAAGGGAGTAAATATATATTTTTTTTATTTTAACTCTTCTTCTTCGCCTTAATCCCAACTACTTGGAATCGGCCACTCTTATCCTAAACTTCCATTTGACACGATCTCCCACATCATCTACGCTCACATCAGCTGTCCTCATATCATACTTTTTTTAAATTTTAACTTTCCAAATAAAATTTTAGATTAGCCCATAAAGGACAGTTTAAACTTTTAAGATAAACTGCTCGAAATAAAGTAACGAATAATTTTCAAAGTTATATTTAAATAATTAATTGAAAATAAAATAAAATAACTCTCTATTTTGAAAATGATATTAAATTAAGATTACTTTCTAGGTAGTTTTGTTACTGTAAATTGTAATTCGAGTGAAGTTACTACCTAATCGCTGGGAATATATTTTAGATATTATTGACATATCCACGCAAGGTTAAACTCATTTGGAATATAATTAGTGTTAACAACATGAAAGTAAAATACTATCACACAAATTACAATACATCAAATCAGTTTGAATTAATTTATTTGTCATGGTGCATACGGATCGCAAGGTGATTTGCAAGCTTTTTTATCACTTTTATAGGAACAAAATATAATTTTTTGATTCATTACATTAAGGGACAATTTTTTAACATATAAAAAATTCTTTACTAAAAAATAAAAAACCAAAATATTAGTTTCAGTAATAATGTTTTAATAATATTATATATTAATATATGATTTAAAATATGTACCAAATCTGGGGCTAAATATGATATATGTTATCCAATTTTTTATACAAAGTCCATAAAATTTTCAGGAGTTAAAATTTTTTATAAGAATAAACTATGAATAAAAGTATTTTATTATTTTAAAGATTTAAAGGTGTTTTTAGATACGAAAATAAAAATAATTAATTTGAGGTGATAGAAGTTTTTCCAAAAAATGTTGGACAAGAAATCTTAACTGTCATTTAAAACTTAAGTGAAAATGACACTCTATTAATTTGAAAATACCATCCTAAATATTCATGGAAAAACATAACTAGGAGAAATAGAAAACAAAAGATTAAATAATAAATATATATATTTAATATACAATAATAAAAAACTTACATTAGATTAAATTAAATAATACCAATATAAATGAACAACATAGCAAACATTGTAAATATAACATAATAGCAAATTAATATAAATTGATAACAATATATTTATAATTAAAATAACATGGTCAGTTTTTTAAAATATATAAAATAACCAATAGTGATATTCATAACTAACACTACAGATATCTAATCTAAAATAAAAATTAAGAATCAAAAATATTAAACCGAGGTTTTATGTGATAAATTCAAAATTTTAATTATCATTAAGTAATTATAAATTCAATTTATATAAAAAAGAATATTTGTTAACAATAATTATTATATAACAAAATATAAGATACAATCATGATATGCTGAGTAATTTATTACCATTAAGTAGAATTATTCTATGGTTTGTAAAGTTATGTATAATAAAAAAAATATATATAAAAATGTAAATTGTCATTTCTTAATTATAAAATTTAAAAATCACTGGTTACACTAAATATATCATAAAAAATAGAAATAAATTTATAAAATAATTCAGTCTCACATTGATTATAAAAGTTTGAGTAGTGAAATCTCAAATTAGGGTAATAATACAGTAAATTAATTAAAAAAAATATGTATTGTCAAAATAAGTGTAAGTTTTATTTTTAGGTGACAATTTTTAGTTAAATAATTTTGTAAAGAAAAAAACAGATAAAAATTTAATTAAATATAAAAATATTATAATACTAAAACGTTGAATTTTGATAATAATTAAATATTAATCTTTAATTTTTATGATAACATTTTTTAAAATTATTTTCTTTTATGTTACATGATAAACTGAAGTGTCAAGTTTTAAAATACTACTAAAAAATATAAAGTATAATTGCATAACATAAAAATAAAATAAAACTTAAATTATAAATATAGTTATAGTAAAAACTTAACATAAAAGTTGATAGTAATTTTGTTAAAATAATAAATTTTATAACCATTACTAATTACAAATTAAGGTAAATTTTTAAAATATTGAGGAGTGTTATTAAAGAACATTATTTTTCAAATTAAATATTCAAAAAAATTAGATCCTTAACTTCAATAAATGTCAATAAACATTATTTCACAAATAGTCTTGACTAAACAAATATACAGCTGAGTTTTTAAGGTATAACCTTAACATCTTATTATATTACCATAATTTGTAGTCAAACTAAAGTGTAGCATTATAAAGTTTGAATTTTGAATAGATAAATTTGTTTACTCTTACACAAAATATTTTAAAGAGTAATACATTGTAAAAAAAAAAAAAAATTAACATTAAATGAGAATGTTTTTATTTAGTTTTATTAATAAAGAAACTTAGTTGAATAATTAAAAGTCTTAACACTAATACATAATTGTCATACCTACAACTACAGTAAATAATTGCATAATTGTTCTAGTATTGAGCATTTTTAAAATAAATCAAGTTTTATTTTTATTAGATGAATAATTTTTGAACTAAGAGATTAAACTAATAAGAAAAATTTGTATAATTTATTTTAAAACAATAACAAAAGTAATTCATACTTTTAATATAAAGTTTAAAGAATTAGAAGAAGTGCTATTTACCCAATCACCAAGAAATTAGGTCATAAGTATGTAAAAAAATTAACACAAGAAAAATTGGTAAATTTAAAATTTAAGATGAATGAATATTAGTAATATTGGTAAAAAAATAATTTTAGTAATGAATTACAATAAAATTTAATCTGAGAAAATAAAACTCACAGAATTAAAAAACTAATTCATTTGCATATACTACTTATCTATACATATTAGACAAATTATACCAAGATGTTGTCTCTGAAAATAAATCTATGTTGTTGATTTCAATAGTTACACCGCCTAAAAACTCATTTTCTTGAAAAGCGTCATGACTCCAAATAGTTGCTTGTAAAACTTTATATTGCACAATTTCTAATGGCATTCTATACTCCAACTTAAATAAAAATATTATTTTGTAATTATTATGATAATAGTAAAAAATATTAAATGGTTTAAACAAACATTATGAAACACATTCATAATAGATTTATTTATAACTTTAAAATATTTATAAAATATTACACTCAAGAATAGTTTTAGATAATTAACTTAGCTATAATTTATGTTTAATTAATAATTCATTACCATCTCCATAAATGATGGAAAACAATTTTTTTTGACAACTTTAGTTTTACGCTTAGTTGCTTTATTGCGGTCTGGTAACAAATATACTTTAACATAAGTTGAAGGTTCTTGATTACCTGCTACACGAGGTAAGTCTTTAGCATGATGAATCATAATCTAGAAAACATGTATATAATAATATTTAAAAATCAAAAGTATTCGTTGGTTAATTTCATTTCTTGTTTTACCATGAATGCACCGCGTTGATAATGTAAGGTTAGTTTTAACTGACCACGTATACGATTTTCCCTCACATAAGCTGGTTTTTTAGGTTCTGTGTAAAACATTAATAATAATAATGGCATATAATAGTGAAATAATTAAAATAACTCATTAACTAACATTAGTTATTTTATGGAAAAAAATCTAGTAGAACGTATAAAAATATATAGACCATTAAAAAATATTAAATAGTAACCTCTTTTTAAGATTACATTAATAAATGGAATCTCTTTTTAAAATAAGATAACAAGATTCTTGATTGATCTTTTACTTTACCCAACAAGAAAAAATTAATTTATACATTTATAAATGGAAAGATGTTATTATACCTTTTAATTTTGTATCGTCAATACTATCTTCTTGTTGATCCCGCAAAAGTGGATGGAAAAATGTATAAACAAGATCTGAGTGACTAACCTCAGGAGCCATTTGAAATAATGTGTTTAAAAAAAGTTGGATTTCTACACGCCTTTTTTCTGCTACTTGCTTAATATGAGATCTACCCATATGAATGCTTGTATTTAATAAACTAATAAAAAATATAAATTAATTAATTCTGTAGCTATCGATATATATATATATATATAAATAATGCCAATCACTGAGAATTGTATAATTCAATATTATTATTTTTATAATTTTCACTTAAATACCAATATAAAATATTTATTTTAGGACAAAAAAATTATAATGAATTTATTTTTATAATTTCACTAGTTTTTTAAAAATTTAATTTAGAATTCATTAAAATAGAATACTCTATTGTTATTAGTTAAAACATAGTAGTTTATTAATATGAGACTTTAGAATTATGTTATTAAAGAAAACAGCCATAAAAATATTATTAGTTTGTGCAGTTACCAAAAATAATAAGTTAAACTATTATTACACTTAATAAAAAAGTAGAAGATAAATTAAAAAAATGTTTATACTTATATCATTATAATTTTATTAATTGTTTAATATCTCGATTATTATACATACCTTAAAAACTTTGCTAAAGGAAATAAAAGTAATAGCTTTTGTTGGAATTCAGAAAACTCTTTATATGAACGGAAATGATATGATGGATCTCTTTGGTTTTCTCTAAAAACTTTAAGTATATACACATAATACTTTTCAGGATCATAACGCTTTTGACAACCATAAACTTCAACATGTTCAATTTTACCTTCTTGAGACATCCTTAAAATAAAATATTACATAACATGAAAATTAAAAAATTCAATTATTAAATATTATTTCTAAAAATAATTATTTAAAAAAAAAATATTAATTTTTTTTTATAAATATTTAAAGATATTATTTAAAGCATATTTATCACTTAGTTAATAAGCTTAAAATAAACACTATATTGATTACTTATAATTTTAAGTTATTACTAAACTTAATTTAAACTATATTTGTACTTTTTCTAGAGCTATACCAATTTAAAAATACTAACGTGTAAACTTTTGGTACAAAACTTAATAATTCAGTACCATTTTGTTCATTATTAAATCTCATTTGTGCTAAATTATGTAAAAAAAAATTAAACTGGGTAAAACGTGATTTAATAGAATTTTCAATCATGCGTGCAAAAGAAGCTGCAGCTTCTGTATTAGATAGTTCAGGGAGTAGAGCCTTTTGAACGTAATTAACAGCATCCATTGTAACACCAGGTATACCAGATGATGCCATCTATAAAATATTAAAAAATAATACACTTAAAATTTAGTTTTAACGTAAAAAAAGATTTAAAATCTCACCAAACCAAACAAGTTTAGTAATAAATTGCCATGTTTGCGAACAATATTAAATGCTTGAACACAAACATCAACAAAATGATGAAATTTAATAGATGGCTTATCACCACCATTAATTACATAAACCATGTCAGAAGTCAAAACAAAAGGTGTACGATCCCTAGAAAACAAACCATTATCTAGTCATAATTAAAATAAATTGTTTCTAAATGTATTCAAATGATATTAATAAATCAATAATTTTCAATTAATTGATAACATCAAATACATATTTTTTTTGTCAAAAAATTACAAAAAAATTGTAGTTGACATTTTAATATTTGATGATAATGAAATTTCAAATTTAATATAAAATTTAAATTACAGAAATTATATTAGTGAATAATATAAACTAAATATTGAAGTTATTGTCATTAAATATTAAGCCATACTAATGATCCAAAAAGAAGTGATAATTTACTAACACTATAATGACTAAATAAAAAGTAAGCAACATTATATTGGGATGTTATCATACAATTATAGTAATTATTATTATAAAAATATTGACTGTTTTATTAATTACTTTATTTATTTAACTATTTTGGAATATATTTATATTAACCTTTTAAAGTTTCCAAATGTTTGTGCATCTCCTAAAAATTTTCCAAAATCAATATGAAATAAATGTCCTGTAGTTTTCATCATAATATTATCATTATGTCGATCACATATTCCTAGAATATAAGTTGCTACACTATAACCAGCACACGATGCTAAAATTATAAAAAAAAAGTTAACATTATAAATTTAACACTTTTTTTTTAGTTGAAAATAAGAAAATATAAAAATTCTATTCAAAATATATTTATTAGTTATACCAGTAAAATTAGCTACAGCTCTTTCATATTCTAATGCGGAAGGATTATGTTTAGCCAGCCATTCAGCAATTGGCCTATCTTTAAAAGAACCCGTCAAACCTAATTCAACTTGGATTTTCCTTAAAGTTTCAGCATTCGTTACCATTTCAATCATTCCTAAAATTAAATAAATATAATAAATTAATATTTTTATAACCTAAACAAATTTTTTTATTATACTATTACCTCTTTTATCACCTGTTGGAACACAAGCAAATGTTACCATTTTCAAGTCTAATCCTTCTTTAAGCCATAATTTGTCCATTATTCTAATTATTTGTATAGTTAACATATCTTGTTGTAAATCATCACCAACCTTAACATTAAAATTAATATCTTAATTAAAATATATATTTTAAATATTGAAAATTACAGTTTTTAAATTATTTTATACAATTTAAGATATTTTTTTAATCATAATTGAATTACAGACAATCTGACAAAATGATTAAAACTTAAATTTATATATTAAAAAAAAGCAAATATATATATACAGAGTGTATATATTAATTATATATATTAAGGATAAGACACTCGTTTACTAAGTAACTATTGAAAATTTTTAATTTTTGGTAAGGAAAATATTGTTTGATTCAAAAAACACCATAATAATATGTAGTAAAAACATGATATTTTTCATCCCTTCAAGGTTAAAAAACATTAACTTGAGTTTTTTTTAATGAGAACACATATTTTGAATTTAATAAAATGTTTGAGTTTTTAACTTAATAGCAAATGGCATTTGAATTTTTAATATAACTTCATTCGTTTATTAGATATAAACATTTAAAGTTTCAAATTTTTGAGTTAATATACATGTATATTATACAAGGGATTACAAATACAGGTAGCTAATTGATTTTTTATGACATTGCTGTGACAGTCACGGATTATTCATTATCAATTATGACTATCAATAGATATACTTTCTGTGTTGTCAGTTAGTGTATTTATAAACTCACAACAATGTGCCTTACTACCATTGATAATAACAATACTGTGTACCTGCTAATATCGATGTCATAAAAAATCAATTAGCTACCTGTATTTGTAATCCCTTGTATATTATACATGTATATTAACTCAAAAATTTGAAACTTTAAAAGTTCAAGTTGTTGATCTTTTGACGTATTTTTGAAAGAAATCGGTCCAGTGAGAGCTGAGAAAAAATGGCAACAGACATAAAAAAATAAATAAAAAAAAGAAAAAAAAACATATCATAGTAAAATTAATACCTTCTCCGCTTCGCATCGAAGCTAAAAAGTATTGAAATATAGATTAGGTTCTAATTCATAAGTTTAGAACTATTAGAACAGCAGTTTTTATACATTAATGTAAAACAGCTTACATATATTTATACATTAAATTAAAATTAGGAGATTATAATAATTTAAATTTTTTAATTAACAGTTTTTCATCCTTCTATTTCCCAAACTTATCATTCTACAGAGTGTGGTAGCTTTCTTTGACATGTTAGGGAGTCAAAGATTAGCTCAAAGTTAGTTTTTGGCTTAGTCAATGATGAATAGGACAAGTACTATAGACGGTATGCATCATCAATGAGAAAATTACAAGAAAAATTTTATTGGTGCCCCGGGGATTTCACCCGAGATCCTGTGCACCGAAACATATTTTTTTACCTACTAGGCCAGGCTGACCTCTCTCTTAGATTATAATAATTTTAATTTTTTCAAATATTTAGATATTATTGTTGAAATTATATGATTATTAGATACTTACTTTGAAAATTGCAGGAATGATAACATTTTCTTCTACAGAAGTAAAATTAATTTTCAACGGCAATGTATTGGATGGGAAATAAAAACATGATTTCGTTTGAATACCATTTACTTGTATACTAGGACTAAGGGGTAAAGATGTAGGTGTATCATTTAAACATTGACTGATGTTTAATAAATCGTTAGAGAGAACTTTAAGTCTGTGTGATTCTTTACTAGCTTTTAAATTTTCAGCAGTATCAAAAAGTTCCTATAAATAAGTATAAGATGGTTTTCTTACTTTTAATATCACAGTAAAATTATGTATAAAAACATTTTTTCTTATGTTTGTTTGAATATTATTAGTAAATTAATTTTATTGTTTAATTACTTTCATTAAAAGTTGTTGAGACATGAAACATTTTCTAAGAGCTTCCCCACAAGTAGCAATTAAGGCTCTTAGGAGCAACTGTAGTCTTCTATAATATCTTGCTTCACTTACAGTTTTATCATCAGGACAAAAAGTATCATAAGTATTCTTCATAAAAAAAAAATTGGTTCATATTATTAAAAAAAAAAAAAAAAATCAATAATTCAATAAAAAAATTGTTAGGTTCAAAGATTTTTTACTAATATTAAACATGCATAATAATTTTTTTTATTTCAATAAAAATAATAACCATTGAAATAATGTTTTTATAAATCAGAACTATACAAATAAAAAGCTTGTTTAACTTCTAAATATTTTATTTTTGTAAAATTCAATTGTTATTCTAATAAAAAATCCAAAAATGTATGATAATTTTGATAAAAAATTGGTAACTTACTTGAGGTGATTGACCTGGAAGTGGTTGCATTAAAAGCCAGTACAATTGATGAGCAATTTTAGGTGATGATAAAGATTTTTCTAACAATATTTCAGCCAAAGGCGAGTTATCATAAGTTTCATGTTTAATAGCTTGCACTAGTTGAGGAAGGAAATCAATGAGTTGATCATTACTTAGGAGTTGTATTTGTTTTACAGCTAAACGGCGAACTTCATTGTCAGGAAAACTATTTATGAATAATGACAATAAAAACAAATAAGTTATACTTGATTAAATCATTGGCTAAAAAATTACAACTATTTTTAAAACAGTTTCATTAATATAATAGAGATAAAAAAAAAGGATAAAAATATTTAATGTCAATTTAAAAATTACTTTAAAAGTATAAATATTTTACTAAAAAAATATTGTCTATTGACAACATAACAATAAGTTAAACACAATATTCTAATTGTATTAAATTAAGAAGGAATATGATTATGTAATAGTAAACTAAATATAAGTAAAATTTTAGACAGTTAACAACTATCAATTTTAGCTTCGATGCGAAGCTGAGAAGATATTCGTTTTACTATGTGTGTTTTTTTTTTTTTTTGTGTATGTTACCACTTTTTCTTAGTTCTCACTGAACTTAAAAGATTTTTTTAAGAGATCACAAAGATCACAAATTGTATCTAATCGAAGACAGTAACCTCAAAAATTGAAAATATTTTCCTTGTTCCCTATAAATGGGGGAAATCTCAAAAAAAAATTACAAATTTAAAAATCGCTAATTTTCGAAATTTTTTCAATTTTTTTTACTAAAAACTGGCAGATCTTTTTTAAAAATGAACATATCAATATAATTTTTTTTTTTTATAGATACTTGATGACTTTACCTACCATTTGATATATTTTTTTTTATAAATCTGACCCTTTATCTGTCTCCAGGGGGAATTTAAAATGACAAACTTTTTCACAAAAAATTAACTTTTTCAACTTAACTTTTGAAAATGTTTCGTAAAGTCTGATACTTTTATATATAATTATCTTATATCTTAAATTAAAGATAATGTAATATAATTTATCATGAAAAAAAAATTTCGGATATTATTTTCTCTTCACGGTAAAAATGGTTACCAAATGCTATTTTTGTATGAAAATTCTCGAATTTGTATTTTACATTTTTAACTTTATAATGCTATTACTTATTAAAAAGTGTATGGATCAATACAATTTTTTTATGAGAAATAATATTTATATCCCTTTTTCATTCGACATACTTTATCTTAATCGGGATATAAATAAAGAAATAGCAGATCATGTAGCTTTTGGAATAATCCACCAATTTTTTTAAATTAAACACTAGCTACAGATTTGCATCAAAGTGTTTTTCATGATAGTGATTTTAATCACTGTCAGATATCATCATACTTGACCCAACTATGCCACATCACCAATGTGCTGGGGTATTTTTTTTTTATAATAAAAGAGTAAACTTTAAGTTGTCATTATGAAAAGATAAAAATTGCTCTTTTATTTTATATAATTATCATGTTAAAATTTAAGTATAATATTTATATACTTTTTCAATCATTGGTTGAAAAAACACTGTTGGTATTAACCAAATTGGTTAACATCAATCAGTTAATTATTATGTTTGGATTAATTTTTTATACTGAAGGAAAATTATGGATTACTATGTTTATAAAATATATTTATGCTTACCAAGGTAGAAATAATTGTAAAGCATCAAGAGGCTTAATAGGAGCCCAACAGCTAAGCATAGAGTATAAATCTGCTAAACAAGCATAATCCCAACTATGAGCGGCTAATAAAACCTTAGGTAGAGCTTCTGGTTTTGAGAGCAAATAATATCTCTTTTCCCACAATACTTCTCTATCTTCTGATAAAGGCCTTTTAAAAATAATATTACAATATTATTCAATGTAATTTAATTTTATGTAATTCAATGAAATAAATATGTACCTAGTAAAAGTGTCTTGATAAATAATATCCAATAGTTGCTCTTGAGTGTTTATATCTAGACTAGTAAAATCAAAACTATCATTTATGTTTGGATTATAATCCCGATTAATAGAGGGAAATATTATTCTTGAATCAAACTCTTGTACTTCAACACCTAAAATGTATAAATGAATGTAAAATATCAAACTATATTTTATTAAAAAAAATCATTACTAAGAACTGGATGTGAATGACTGTAAGGATGTGTGCCTGGAGGTGGGGCTGGCCCAAGACGTTTGTCTGCACATGGAGGCCAAAGTGATAGTAAATGCTTGCCTTGAGCAAATTCACTATAAATTATCTAAAATTATTTACAATAACAAATAAATAAAAATAACAATATGAAAAATACCCTTCAACATTAAAAAACTGTAAAGAAGCCCAGCCAAGTTCAGTTTGAGAAACAGTAGCAGAAGCATCTTGACCTTCTGTATTAAATGTTCTACCATACACAACTAAGACTAAACGACATTCACGAGGCAGAAGACACACATTAATATTTTCAAATTCTAACCTATATAAAAAAAAATTGTACATATATTAAAATAAAGAAATTAGTTAAAATATTAAAATTGCATAATATTTACCATGAATCAAACACAACACGCTTGTACAATGAATGTTCAGCTAGTACAGTTTTTGAAAGAGCTGTACAAACAATTGGCCTAGTTCCATGATAAATTTGTCCAGCAATCAAATATTCATCATGACTCCAAGAAGGAAATAATCTATGTAAGCCACTAATATAAACAACTACATTATCTAAAATTTCAGAAGAAAGTTTTATCCCTAAAAAAATAATATTTATACTAAGATTTTGTCAGATTTTATTTAAGTACATGTTTTTCTCAATTTATTAATCATGAAATATTTTATATGATTATCCCTAATACCTTATAACATGTCAACTTCATTTTTAATAATGATAACATACATAAGGTGAAGCGGTGTAGCTATATATTCCTCTTTATTATCACTTTCATTTTTTTGTGTAACAGAGTTAATAATAAATAAATAAATCATAAAAATATCTTAACATTCGAATAATAATTCATTGCGATAATTTTTAGATTTGTAATTCTATTAAAATATTAAATTATATTTCTATAGATTAAATGAAGAATGCAGCTGAGAAAAGACTAGTGATAAAAATAACAATAACTACGTCTCACTACCAGTTTATATTTTAAAATGTTAATTATTTCATAAATTTTTGTCCAAAAGTTGCTATTAATCAGTCATTTTTAACAATAAATTTGATTTTCTTAATTATTTATTACGTTATATTTAGGTATATAGGTATAAAAAATATAATTTATTTTTGATAAATTGGGAAAAGTATATAGCTAAAGTATAAAGAAAATTATCATTATTATTTTATTTTTCAATTAAATATATTGTATTCAGCCTATATACAACTAGATTTAACATTTTATCATTGGCATAGAAAATAAATGAAAATATTTAATCTGCATACTATGCATATAAATCATACCGAGAAAAAAATGGTAATAGTCCATTTCTATAAATTTTTCAAGAGAGCAAAAAAGAAGTTGTAAATTCCTTCCTATTCTTTTAATGATAAAACGGAAATTAAAAATTAAAAAAATGTTCATCATATGGATTTTTTACTTGATATTATTGCTAAAGGGCTATTGAATCAAACAAAATGAATACAAAAAATAATGGGCTATAACTGTATTTTCTCTATACTTTTATATAATATAATTTATATAAATAATTTTAATTTAAAAGTGTACTAGTATAAATTGTTAATAGGGATTTATAAGATTATAAATCTTCTGGTCTAAAAAAATATATTCAAATAATTATTATTGTCAGTTATTTATTTAAAATAGAGAACGAAAAAATTAAAAAAATAACTTATTTTTTATCACTCAGTAAATTGATAGAAGTTTGAAATATAAAAATGTTAACTATTTCTTACCTGATAATTGAGAAGATGTAAAATTCAATTGAAAATCAACCTTAAAAGCTTTACAATAATTTTCAATTAATGTTTGCACATTTTCTTTAATTTTCAAACACAAGTCTGAAATATGATCAATTTTTTCTGATTCATTGAATTTTAATCTAACAACTGAATAATCTGCACCATCATCCATCACGACTTCAGTTCTTCTGCCATATAAATCTTGCTGTAAAGATATATATAGATATTAGAGAATATATAAAATTTATTATGGGTCTAAAATATGATATTACCTGAGTGATATTTGAAATTTCGTTACATGACATAATAAAGTTATTTAAAGTTAGGGTTAAGTCTAATGGTTCAATATTTCCTAAAAATGCTGTAAGTGCTTTAATTGCTTGTTGAACACCATTTGGCTGCAATGGAGAAAAAATTTGTTTCTTAAATAGAGCTGTAGCATGTTCCTTCATTTTATTAATTTCTCCATCAAGTGTATCTATAAACAAACATCAAGTTTTAAAATAAATATTTGAACACCATATCTCATTTTAATTTAAAAAAAAGTTACCAAGAAGAATTTTAAGAGTATCATGTGTTATTGGTTGAGAAATTTCATTTGGGCACAAGTCATTTAAGCCTAATTCATTATCACACATATCATCTTGAGCCTATAAGATAATACTTATAAATTAAATTAACTAAAGTATTAGAAAATTTAATTACTTGTCTAGCATAAGTGTGTGAAATATCATCTTTGTGAACTAGACATAATTCAACATCTACATCTAACTTTATACATTCATGAACATATTCAAAGTTGATAACTGGCATATTTATTGGTAACATATATTCACAGAAATTCTTCACTTTCAAAAAATAATCACTAATTTGTATATTTTCAATATCTAACTCACAAATTACTTGTGATATAACATGTTCCACACTACTTCCAACTATGACATAAAACATATATTTATTAATTAATTTAGCATCAAAGTTACTTTAATATTTTCACACATATATTTTAAAAATTAAAATGTGTTACGACATATTATTACATATAAACAAAATGAGGAAAGTTACTTTAGATAAAAATGAAAATATTCAAATTTAAGTTTAATACATTAATAAAATTTAGTATTTATCATGAATATTAAAATATTTTATGGTTCATAAATTAAAAAAAGTTGGTAATTAAGAGAACAAAAATTATCAATATTATTTTATTTTTTAATTAAATTAGAGGCTTTTCATTACAAAAAATTACTCTATATATTTTTATCTATAACATGAGAATTTTTTGAACATGTATAATACATAGCATTTAAAAATGAAATATGAAGTTAACAATACTAAAATATTATGTAAATAGTTAAAATTACCGTCACAAGTGAAAATAATTGGAGTATTCCTGATTGGTTTACAGTTAACAATGAATTTAGTACTGATATTTTCATGTATATTGTTTTCAAATTTTGAGCATACAATTATTCCAGTATTAGTATTAGAATCAGTGTAAATAAATTTTTCTGTAAATAAAACAATATAATAAATTGAATACTTTTTATCAATTTACTAATGCTAACATACTTCTGACTTGTTTCACCATATTATAAAATGCAACAACATCAGGGTCATGAAGAACAGATGATCGTTTCACTAATCCCATATTTTCATAAGTTATACTTTTACAAACCTTTAAAATAAAATAAAATAATTTATTTTTGTTTTATAATAGTAAATTATTTACCTTAAATGTAAAAATATTTTACTTACTTTTGATTCTTTAGGTGTTGTTGAACTTCTAGGAGGAACAGGTGGTGGAGAATGAACAGGTGTCTTTATTACAGCAGCATAAATTGGATCTGATGATTGTGATGATATACAAGGTGAATACATATAATCAAATGGATCATAAGTAGCATAAAATGATTCATTTTTATCTGCTAAATATTTAGTTATGTTTTTAAATACTTTAATACGTATTTAAGAAAAAATTTAAAATACCTGAATCATTCTGAGAGTATGTTCCAGCACCATCAAATAATAATGGATCAAATGCTTCAAGTACACTAGTTCTGACATTTGAAAAACTCTTATTGCAATATTCTGGGCTATCAAAAAAATTTAAATCTATAAGGTTATTATTGTGTTGTTTTTTAGTCACAACAGGAATAACATTTCTTTTAATTCCAGACATTAATAACTCTGATTGTGTGCTAATTTTATTACTGGAAAAGCTTTGCAATGTTTCAGTTGACCAGCAACTAGATGGCAATATTTGTTGGGACAATTGCTGAGGAATTTGATATCCAACATTAGATTTTTCTACAGAATAATTTATAGGACTAAAATTATCTTGATACAATTTTTCTAAATTTTTTTTAAGAATTTGTGTTTTACTATCAATATTTTGTCTATAATGTAAATTTGAATTATTAAATAAGTTATTATCATTGAAATTCTGGAATGTTGAATTATCAATTGAGCAAGCAATTTTGTTCCTGTAAAATAAACACTGATGTACAATGATATTTAGAAAATATAAAAATGAAATTTTATCAGCTAAAATCACTTATTTTTATATAGTTAACATATTTTAAAGATCAGAATTTTACTATTTCATTAAATGGCAAGGTTTCAGCATTTCAATTCACCTCAAACTGTTTCTCAAATATCTGTCCAATATTTCATCATTTTTATTAAGTATGAACATGAGGAATGAGAAGCAATTACTTAAAAAGAATAAAAAATAAAGAAATTAATGAATCAGAAAAATAATAAATCGAGGACTATAATTTGAAAAGGAGTTCAAACTAATTTTAGTTTTCAGAATTGAATTTAGTTTCAAAGAAAAGCAAGGTAAATATTGAAATACGACCTCAAACCAAAATAATATTTTAAATAAATCATCATTTTAAAAACCAACAATCTTAGGTAATAATCATAAATAATTAATAGTATAATTATGACAATTTACCTGTCTACAAAGTCAAATGGCTCTAGATTTTTCATGAGATCATCTAAAGGTGGTGATTCCAGAACAACTAAGTCTTTAACTGATTCATTAGTATTACTTTTTGAGATAGCTACAGTAGTATTTCTTCGAGGAGGTGGTTTTATCCGTGGTACTAATGGTTCTTCTACAATATTTAAATTAATAAAAACATAAATTTCACTATATTTAACAAACAATATTCTTAACATTATTTATTTAAAACATAAATATCACCAAATATTACTTGTATTAAAAGATCCTGGTCTTGGTCTTACTCTAGATGATTCATTACAGTAATTGGTAGTTTCTAAACATAAATGATTCTTTTTTTTTTTTTACTAAGTTCAATATTTATAATTTGAAACATACCTGACATTGACTGAAATGATGTTATTTTGGATTTTTGTATTGTTTTACTACTGTTAATTGTCAAAGATTCAGATTGTATTTTTCGATTACGAAATTCTTCTAAAGCCAATGTCTCCATGTTAAGAGCTTGTGCTAAATCTTCTTGGAATTTTTTATCACATTCTGACTTTGCAGTTGACTTCATTATGTGAAGTTAATTAGACAAAACTAAAATAAAAAAAAAATTATTTATTTTCTCTTTTTTGTTTTAGTTATCATCTTTTGATTAAAGACTGTTTCATTCTTTTTACTGTATCCCTCTAATTACAAATCATAATCCTACAAATGATCAACACATAGCTAATTTCAATTTATAATAGGATATGTATAATATTTGAATACAGAATTTAACACTTAAAGTTTGCAAAAATTTAATCACTATAAAGTTTAACAAAATTAATGACTTGGATTGGAAAATTAAAAAAAATTCAATTGATAAAGCATAAATTATAAAAGAAAATTAGATATTTTTCACTTTAAGACACTTACTTAAAAAATGTATTGAAGTCAAATAGCTTGACCGCTGAAAATAAAAATAAAACGTAATTCATAATAGCCGATTATCGTTAGCAAAAAATTAGTTATCAAATGGATGCGTAATAGCATGATTTTTGTAAAAATATGTTGAAAATAAAATTATTCAGAAAAAAAAAAACAGTGAATTACTTTTAAAAATTTAATATAGAAATCCGAAATTACAGAATTAATTGTTACATTATAAAAACTATTTACTTGTCCAATTAACATGATAAACATAAATAAATTCTAGTTTTGCTAAATAGAGATTGCATTTTAGTGCATTCATAACTTGCTTTTTAGAAATTTTGATATCAATACTCCGTACAGTTGGTTAATGATATCTGAAATTAAATTTTTCAATCAGATGTCTATCTACATTGGACATAAACATGGTTATCAAAATTGCAGTATATCACTAATAAATAGTGATAAAAATCGTAAAATAATATTATTGTATAATAAAAACTACCAAAATTTGGCAATTAATATAAAGAAAAGTTGAGTGTAAATTTTTAATTCATATTGCTTTTAATAATTACGAATTATTTTATATAATTTTTAATAATCAAATCAGACGTATGTACTGAATAGCTTACAAGTATATTAGATATTGTAGTACTAAAAATTTTTCATTTATTATAAAATAAGTTAAATGACGTAAGTTGGTGAAATGGATAACAATAATTATTTATTTGTTAGAAACAACTTTTATCGTAAATATTATTTAATATTATTCTTTAAATAAGCATTTCTTTTTAAATAATTCAAGAAAATATTTGTACTTGATTGAAAATGTTATAACAAGAAAAAAGTTACGGGTAGCTTTTTATAATTAGCGTAAGTTCAATCAAAAGTTTTCTTCCTAGTTAGATACTAGTTTTAAGTGATATTATTTATTTTGTAAATTTTAGATATGATTATTATTCGACTGTTATCAAATTTAATTCTTATAGTAACTTGGTATTTTTATATTTAGTCTAAATAATTTCAAGCTTTGAATTTAAAATGAGCAAAATTAAGGACATAGTGAGTGGCAAAGATGAGTCTGATCAAAGTATTCAGGACGCTGTTAAACAGATTAAAGACCTATCAATCACAGAACACAATGAACTCTCTAATTCTTCCAATACCCCTATACTAAATTTTCTTCAGGTAAAAAGATATTCACTCGTGTATATTATAATAACATAAATGAAGATTACAAAATATAAATTTTAAAAGGCTAATGTTGAAGAACTATACAAATTCAATAAACAAACTTTGGAAAATAACTCAGAGAAATTCTCTTCTGAATTGTTAAAAGAAAAAATTCAACAAGTAATTAAGTTGATGAAGGAAAAAGAAGGTAATTAATTATTATTTAGTGTTAAAAGGTTTCTTTAATATTAAAATTAAATATAGCTTGCTTTTTTTTTTATAAATAATTTTTTTATATGTTTATAGATCAAGCTATTTCCGAAAATAAGGCACAATATTACTTTTTATTAGGAAAAACTGGTAGTATTGTACATCCAGTTGATGAAGAATGTGTTAATGCATTGTCTAAAGCGGTAAAACTTAATCCTGCCCATCTTGATGCTTGGAATTCTCTTGGTGAATGCTTAGTACATTTAAAAAAATTTTCTGAGGCCAAATATTGTTTTTTAGCTTCATTAAAACATGTATGTGAACATTTTATATAAAAATATAAACATGACAGTATTTATTCATCATTATTTAAACAGGGAAAAAGTAAAGTTATTTTAAGAAACTTATCCATTATAATGAGAGAATCACAATTATTGAACAATACAAATGTTAAAGAAAGTTTAGAACTTGGAATTGAATATGCAAAAGAAGCTGTTGAATTAGACTCATCAGATGGTGAATCATGGACTATACTTGGAAATGCTTATCTATCCTTATTTTTTAGAAAGCAAGAAGATAAAATTTTGAGGCAATCAATAAACTCTTTTGAAAAAGCAGTAAAATCATTGTTTACATTTATTCACTATTAATATAAAATTGGTGCGATTCTTTTAAATTTACTCAATAGGTCATAATAATATTCTATTAAGAAAAATTGTAATATTGCTATTACAGAAAATGATTTTATTATTATATTTTAAAAATAACCATATTTACATAAAAATGTTATTTATTGATAGTGTGTATAAAGTTCTTGTACTTATATAAAATAAAATTTTCTAATTTAATAATAATGCTTAAATAATGTTAAAAAGTAATGATGAAAAGAAGTTAATTGATTATTTCAACTTAAAATAATTATTTTAAAAATGAAAAGTAAAATTAACTAGAAGTCATTTGTTACACAAAAACTATGATTAACTAAAAGAATAATGTTGTTTAATAAAATAGATTTAAAAAAATTTGATATGATTATATTCTCATTTTATGGTGTATTAATTGAATATATTCTATATTTTATAGCTTCAAGATCCTGCAGCAGCTCAAAATGCTGATCTCCACTTTAATAGAGGTGTTGTAAGTTATCACGATATCACTTTTAATAGTATTGTTTTTTCTATGAACTTATTTTATAATTATTTAATCTAGGCTTTAAAATATGCAGAAATTTACACAGAAGCATTAATTAGTTTTGAAAAAGCCTCACTGTTAGATCCAATGTGGACAACTGCTAAAGACACATTAGAAGATCTCATTAAATATTTAAAATCTACTCAAACATTGTATCAACGCAAAGGTCAAATGAAAAATAAAAGACTTCAACAAATGACTAATGTACTAAAATATATTTATATTAAATTAAATAATATTTTTTATCATAAATTAATATAACTTTTTGTATAATATTAGTCTTTAGATGAGAATTGTCTAGGTTTATACAAAGATAAAATAAATTCAACAAAAGGACAAGTGGTATTGAAACTTTGCCCAATATTACAACTTGAATTAGGTTTAAATACAGATAAAGTAGTTTGTGGGAGAGTAGTATGTGTTGTGTATAATCAAGAACCTGTACCCTAGTAAGTAATAAAGCATTTTTAAAAAAAGGGGTGGATCCAGAATTTTTACTAGGCTGTAAAAAGTTTTAAGATGTCAAAATTTTTTTTTTTTATCATTCAAAGTACTATTTTTAAAAAAACAATGATAGCCCAAAGAAGTCGTGGATCTTGAACCTTCCCACTGGATTTGCTACTTTAAAATAATAAAATTAATTGTTATTGTATACTAAAATATTTGAAAATTCATTTTTAGTACATTTTGTTTGGTTGATAAAGATCTTTCATGTATTGTAGTGTCTGTGTATAATTTAGCTCAAGGTAAAGGTCCAATTATTGGTGATTCTGTGGCTATTCCAGAACCATTTATGTGTCAAATTGAAGCATTATTTAAAGGCCAGGTACTATGTTTTTTCTTATATTTTATCTTAAAGGTAGTTTTTAAACATATTCTGTATAAATATGATACAATTTTACTCAAAAAAATAAATAAAAATTTTTTTTTAGACATATGCATATCCTAGCATTAGAGTAAATTTGCCTTTGACAATGGTCGTAAACAAGAAGTGTATCAGCTCTGAATGTGTATCTCAACCACAATTTTTGTCTAAACAATTTTAACATATGTTTCTAATGTACTAAAATTTTATGAAGTTGTAAATAACAATTTAATACAAACAAAACTTTACAATTTATTATAATAACCCATGTTATTTATCATTTCCTATTAATTTTAATTGAAGTTATTTAATAATACTGTTGTATATTCATACTAAATGTTGTAAACTTAAAATTTTTTTATTTCTAATTATATAAGTAGAAAGGTTAAATATTGATATTAACAATAAAAAAAAAAATACCAAATTACAAAATGATGTTCTTTCATTTCAGTAATAATTATTCTGTAAAAAAAAATAATACTATTATATAATCTATACCTTTATAGTTAAAATTTAAATATGATGTTTTCAAATTGTATGATCTTTAAAATAGCTATAGTTCTTCCATTAAATAAATTTTTACTAAAAATTTATTTTATTTTTTATTATGAATAATATTTAACTTGTAATAATATTCTTATTTTCAAATAACTTCTCTTGCAATATTTGTAAACAAATTTTTCTAACTTTATTTGAAAATTAATATTAATATTTAATTAAAGAAAGAAAGTTGACGAAGTCTACTAAAAATAATCACGTGGAAAGTATGAATGAATTAAAGTAACGTATTGGATAATTGGGGTTGCCTGAGAACCGGACATTGACGAACTTTTTTAGGGTTAAAATTACTGAACAGACAATTAATATTTCTACTCGTGTGCTGGTAGTATATCGTGAATACGTGTTAGTAAATTTGATAGTTACAATGAATAATAACAGGTTGTAATGGAATTCGGTTGTGACAAATTTTTTTTGTAATACTTCTATTAGGTATCTAATTATTTATAGATTATTGGATAAAAAACCTACTGTGTAATAACGACTACAAAAATGAAATGTATAATATTGTATTGATGTGAAAATACTTTTAGGTCGAATGTTCTTTTCGTGTGACGGATCATTATTGTGACGACCCTTCAGATCATAATTATAGGGTTTATACAAATTTGATCCCTAACCGATTGTTATACTCATTATGGGAATATTCAACAAAATTATGTAATGAATTATTATGTTATCAAATTTTAATAAAAATAAAAATATTTTTATAAAATAATTTTATGTTTAACTCATATCATCGTTACATTCAAAAAGTATTTTTTTCGGCATAATATAGACTATTTAGGCTCTTTGTCGCAACCACCATATTTCTTCGCCTGTCCCTTTTAGCAGCCAACACCTCTTCATTATTTATTTCTGATAAGTCTAAAACTTTTTGAGCTCATCTACTCTTTTCCGTTTTGGTCGACCTAGTGGTCTTTTTCATTTTGGGTATTTATTGAGTGACCTCATTGATTATTTGTCCACGTTCTCTCTAACTTAATCTTTTACTTTTTATTACGGCAATTATATTAACCTGTCTGAACATTTCTCTTACTTCTTGATTAGTTTATTCTTGAATTCTCCAGTATTTAAATTTTTTTTAGAATCTAATTTCAATCATATTTTTCTTTCAAATACTGAAATTTTTTGTTCATTGGTTTTTGTAGTTTCACTTGCATATAGTGCTATCCGACAAGTCATGACCTTATATAATATCAATTTAGTTTTTATTGACACAAGTTTTGATTTTAAGATCTCTATTCAAACAAAATAGCATTTATTAACAACATTTATTTTTCTAGCGATTTCTTTATAATTATTACCCAACCATTAAAATGCATTTGGTTGGGTAATGCAATTTTATTAGCATTGACTTAAATTAGTTCATTAAAATTGAATTACTATATAAAAAAATTATATGATCTAAACTATTAGGGTGAAACCTTGTTGTTTAGCAGTCAATTGTCAACTGCCCAGTTTTTGGGAATACGCGTTTTAAAGGAATAAAATTCGCAGGAATACTTAAATATTTGAGTTGGAGTTTATAAAGTTCTGGAAATGCATTTTTGTGTTAACTCCAAAATTGCAGAGAACATTTGGTACGACTTAAGTATCCTACTTAAGTCGTACCAAATTTTTTAAATATTTACGAAGCATCAATGAAGTTGTAAAGTTAGTGGAAAAATTGCTATTAGATTTAATTTTTGTGACTTTACTAATTCATTCTATTATGCTCTTCACAACTTTTTTTAAAAAATTGCGAACAAATGAGTACATCAAAAAAATACGTCTACGCTTTATGATCATATGGCCAAGTAAGAAATAAAATAATTAAAATAACATGTATACTCAGTAAACATAGAAAATACGTATGAATAAAATATCTTCCACACATTATGAGATAGGTGATAAGAAATAACTAATTTATGTTGATGATAGAAGTAGTCATAGATAATCCAATAATACTATAACATAATGATTTTTATCAGCCAGTGAAGTCAGCAGTAATGATTTAGAGTTTAAAAAGAAAATTAATAAAAAAAAAACATCTAATGGTATCTGAACTTTACTTTTTGCATCTTTATTGTTATATATTTTTTTATAATATACAAGAAAAAATATAATTACTATATCTATAGCAAATAATAATTACAATGATATGAACATCAATATTTAATATAAAGTACAAATTATAAAGAAAAAGGACTAAAGGGGAAGAAATATAATATTACAACAGTTATGTAGATGATATATTTTGGGGCGAAATGATTTGGTTTGTAGCTGTACCGGACCTTTAAACCACTTTTGATGTTGGCGCAGGCCCGTGAAAATTACCATAAACTAATAATATTGACAAATACATATAATAATAAAAATAACATTAAACTAAAAATAATAAATACAAAAGACAAGTCTTTTAACGGAATTTTTAACATAACACGATTTTTGAAATTAACTGGCAAAATGAATTTTGTACACCTTAATTAAAACATAATAATAATTAAACCTTAATAATGAATCGTAAAGTAACAATTCCAAGATAACATTTAAACTCAATAAATAATATTATAGGAGTACAGTTCGTGGGTCGATAAATTTGCTTTACAATTTTTTACAACGAGAAAAACAAAACAACTCATACAAATTAAGGTAACATACTTGTTCCGCTGTATTAAATTTATTTAAGGTAATAAAATCGTTAATATAAAAACCGACTATAAGAAAGATTTTGGTTGATTCCAAAGTTTGCCGTAAAATTTAATTAATACAAAAAAAGTTAAACATAAATAAATAACACTAATTTGTTTTAAATTCAAATTTTACCTGTACACTTTTCCTACGCGTTTTGGAGATCTTTATTACTTATTAAAACATTTTTTACACATACAAATTTGCTATTTGATTTATACTTTGTTTGATAATTACTCAAAAGTTCGATAAATAAAATCTATAATAAAATTAATCTTATCAAAATCCCACGTTCTATAGAGATCTATTAAAAATTCTACTACATTAATATGTAAGAATTACAATTAAATTATATAATGTATATATATAAATGTTTTTATTTTGTTACTTAGAAGGTGAATTTATGTTCTCCCCTGTAAGTAATTCAATAATGTAAAGTAATTTTCATTTTTTTTGCTAACATATTTACACGGGTACCTTAATAAACTTTAACGCTTTCCGTATCAATAGTTTAAAGGAGATCATACTCAAATAATAATAGTTAAACGGAATGAACGATAGGCCGAAAAACTTTTAACGCTATTAACAAAAGAAAATTATTAATATTCTAATTTCTAAGAAAATGTCTTAAATTATTTATCACATATTTCGTTCAGTAATAATAATAATAACATCATTAATACATACGCCTAAATTACACTATCAAACTAATTATTTAAATACAACTGGTGAGATTTACAAATAATATTATATCTTGCAATAGACCTATGATTAATATTTTGAATACACGAAATAAAAAAGCAAGACCAAAAAAATAAAACGCTTAAAAAACAATAAATTAAAGAATAAACAAGTAAATGGATAAAAAAAGAAAAATAAACATACTTATGAGGTAGAATTATGTTAGACGCTTTACGAAAGTGTAACAACATTATGTGAAATCAGTTCTTTACATAAAGTTGTCGTATAATACATATTATGTAGTTCTAACACTGTTCTATGTATGTGCGTTTCTTTATTAAGTCTCTTCGTCAAAAAGAGTTAAGCTAATACAATATAAAGTAATAATAAAAACAATATTTATATTTTTGTTCAAACGTCGACAGAAGACGGTCATAGACCGCCGTGCAAGCAATCGTCCATACTGTGATAGGGTTTTTTAAGAGGTGGTTCGGCTGCCATGGCCGGGTTGTTATTTTCAGATTTTTCTGGCGTCAAGGCCGCGGCCGTTGTGCTGGCCACGAGAGCGTCGATCAGGGACACGTGTTCGTCCACCTCGGTCGTTGAACACTCCAACAGGCCACACAGTTCGGCGGCCACTTCGGCTGCAGTCACCGGGTCAATACCGCGAATAGCCGATAGCATACACGACGCCGCCATCACCGAGGGCTTTTTCGTTATGAACTCGGGTTCTGTGGACAAAAAAATAATTGTTATAACACTGACATACTGCAATTGAATAACGTTAAAATAATTCTGTATATTACTGTGGAGAAGCAGAACACACCACATTTACAATAAAAAAAAACACGTCAGACACCTAATTAATCTTATACGGGAGCCCTACACCGATAAATCATAATATTGAGCATATTTTCGTACTGGTGTAGTCGTGCACTAAGTAAACCAATAACATTTTTTTTTTTCAGGTCAAAGACTTCTATAACATTTGAAATACTAAAAAATGGTATCGATAGTTTCCGTATATGATTTATGTGACAGAATTCGGAGATGTCGTTAAAAATACTATCAGTTATATGTTAGTACATTCAAAGGCGTCCAGTTTCAAAAGAACCTTTTACATGGTTAAATGTGCTTAAGAATAATAATTATTATTATATCGGTAGTAAAGACATGTAATCAAATTACATCGTATAAAAGTAAGCGGTTGTTTCTATAATACGAGGGGTTTGTTTTATTTGCATACAATATAAATATAAAAAGATAGAAACAGAAACTCGACGCTTTACAAGACGTCTTGGATTCTGATGACAACACAGTGATTGGTTCGGATGAAATTTTATTATAATATTATGTTATATTCATCAATTCAATTATATAAGTTTGTAAAATTTTCGGAAATGTCTCGGTGATAAATTATTTGTATTATTTTTTACATATAATTAAAGGGGTCGGACATACATTTAAAACGAGTTCTAAAGCAAGATAAGTGGTAGTTTTTTAAACGATATTTTATACACTTCCTTTGTAATTCCAATTACTTATACATGGAATAATTTTATTGTCACGTGGTAGTTATAAAAAGTTATTCTAGTTTTTTAACTTCCTAAGTTTAGTGTTTTTTTCACGTTCAGCTAATTTTTTTTTAATTACTTTCTACTTAATTAGTGTGTTTGACCCCCGAAAATGTCGAATGGTAATATTCCCAGTGATAGAAGTGGTCATTGGCCCACGTGGTAGTCGTATTGGTCAATGTGGTGGTGTATTTTAACCGGAGCAGGTGTAAAACCCAATTCGGATCAACGGAATGTTCATGGCTCTGTTGTATCTGTTGGGCGGTTGCATGTGAAGGATACATTTCTCACTACTACACTACTATCGCGTACTACGACCAAACGTAAAGGTACAGCGTAGTAAATAGTCTTTACGTTCCCATCCTTTTTTTCAATGCAACACTGAGGTTTGCACGCGAAATACAACGTAAGCACACAATGACAGAATGTGTGTACGCTTACAGTAATGTACAGAACACATCAGGTGCATTTCTTATTCACGTGAAAAAATGCCACAAATGACGCGAAGCGTCCAAATTGCGTTTTCATTGTCCAATGGCGACCACGTGCATTTTTTATTGTCACGAAAATCCAAATCCCGGTCAGATCGGAAAAGATTTTATTGTACTAAATGAAAAAAAAACCGTAGCGAATAAACAATTAAATTAGCGCAGGCCAACGGAGAGGAGCAAAGATTCAATATTATTGCCAAACTGAGTTGTTGACACGAACTTGACAGCTTTGCGACGGCAGACGACAATTGCGCAAAAACATCCCACGCGATGACTAAGATGTATTTTCCCGTCTGGTTTGAACGCAATACCATGTGAATCGAACCAATTTGGTTAGAGCGTATACCTGTTGAAGATGCCTTTGTACTTCACACCGAAGGGTTTGTGCGTTGTCACGTCCCTTTCCTCGAGTATTTTACGTACACTGCGGTGCAATGATGACTGAGATGTCCTCACATTTTCCCACGGGCACACTCGCCTTTTGATAACCTTTATGCTCGTGGATGACACGTAAAAAAAAACATCATTTTGCAACATCGTTTCGACAATATTAAAATCCATTTTATGTAAATTTGTTTACAACGAAATCGCCATAAAATAACTCCGATAAATAATCGCCATGTTTGGCCACCCGTAGCGGCCAGATGCAAAGTTGTACAAATGAGTCGCCAACGGATTTTGGTGCGAGGGGGCACGTACACGGTCGAGATGCTTATCCCGATTTTTTTTGGCCGGAACCAGGAAGTTAGAGCTGTAACGGCGAAAATGCCGTAGCAACGCGATAAACGTAATAATATTGTAATAATAATTGTATCGGTATAGGTGTGCACATTTGTTATAAACTCGGTTAAACACCTGGCATTCAAATAGGCGCAGACCGTTTTTGGGGGAGATTTCGAAGGCTCCGAAAAAATAATGAAAATTGTGATTTTTTTTTTTTTGAAAACGGTGACAAAAAAACCTAAGAAGCAGATGTTTATTACATATATTTGAGAACGCAAGTCCTCCCAACGCGGTGGCGGCGTATAATGTGCCCATTGTTGTCCGATGGCGGTGTAAGAATCGAAGGGTAACGCCACGAGCCATATCCTCGCGAGACAAGGGCAGGGAAACGTACGAGATTTCTTAGAGTCTACTGTGGAAGCCAATCTGTCGGGCGGCGACCGTTTACCGTCAGGGTCAAAGAACGACGGTAACCGATTTTAATCTCACCGAAACCTTATACAATGTTTTAGGGTCTATTCGAGTACCAGACCCAAACATTTGGAAAGGGTTGAAATCCTCTCCAAAACTAGAGCGACATTGTAGTGATTACCGTAAAAATTAACGGACGGCGGTGCTCGATCGGCATCGATATGTGTTTAGATACGAAAAACCTTTGCACAGTTTATGCCGTACAAAAGTCTATAACAATATAATTTATCGAACCGCTTCTCTAGTCGTTTGTCGGCTATATTTTACTGTTGACACAACGGGGTTAACTACAATAAAGCGATCCATAAACCGTCGACGGAATTCCGATTGCCAGGACAGGCAAACGGTTTTACGACGTTATCTGCAAAGTTCCCTTGTAACGGAATCAATATTAATTCTATTCTCTTCGTCGAACGATTCGTCATTTGTCGTATTATCGACTGTGCGCGTCGTGATTCCGGAGGAGCAAATCCGATCGTAAAGATCCGCCGATAAAACGGAAAATGCGAGTCGATGAGCAATAAAAACCGTTTAGTTCCGATTGGCCGGACAGCTGATTCGATTTCATTACGATTATTATTATTGTAATAGCCGTGGAGGAAAAAATTGCGATGTCATCCTATGCAGCGTTGGGTAAGACGGCAGTTCTTACTTAACCTCCTCGTGCGCGCGTTAGGGGGGCCGAGAGCACTACAGCTTTGGACAGGACGTTCGAGGAGGCAATGCGACAGCACTCGTATTGTTGCAGTCGATCGCGGACATTAATGAAACTATTGGGACAGCTCGAGCGCCAGATATATTTTTTCGCCATTAATGCGCCACTGCAAATTTGAATTAACGCCGTGTATACGCCGTCCGAAATGTGGTACACCCCCTAAGCNAGACGGCAGTTCTTACTTAACCTCCTCGTGCGCGCGTTAGGGGGGCCGAGAGCACTACAGCTTTGGACAGGACGTTCGAGGAGCCAATGCGACAGCACTCGTATTGTTGCAGTCGATCGCGATCGCGGACATTAATGAAACTATTGGGACAGCTCGAGCACCAGATATATTTTTTCGCCATTAATACGCCACTGCAAATTTGAATTAACGCCGTGTATACGCCGTCCGAAATGTGGTACACCCCCTAAGCCAGTAACCGACGGCGATAGTGATCATTTTACGAGGCAATTCCTAGCATACAAACGTGACTAATGCAAGCACCGGCCGGCCAACCTGTTGTACAGCAAATTACCGTCAGCTGCACACCGTAAACGGCGAACGCTAACCCCGTCGTCAACACTTTACCGGCGGACATCGTTGTTCTTCGCCGAGCACATCACTATTATTATTATTATCTTTCGTCTGAGAGACCGTAACAATTATTACTACGAACACCACCACCACAGACGCCAGACAACGCGGTCTTATTCATTATTATTATTATATTTCTATACCTAGAGGGACTTGTTGAGCCTAATACAGAAACGGCACAACTGCTGTTCTCGGTCGTCGAACTATTATCTCGAGGAGGGTTTTTAATAGTAACGACCGGCAGCAGTGAGGGGAGGCTATTTTGGTACCGGAGCAATTAATAAAATACACTTTGAAAACACACAATCGTAAAACAAAGAGTAATATACGCGAGAATAGCTGATTAAAAAACAACGGCACGTCCGACGAGGGTCATGGTGTGAATGACATGTACATTTTTTTAGTACCTGACAGTTACAGTAAATGGGTAAAACTGTGCGTTTGTTTATACTTGCAGCGAAGTCGCAGCGTCTAGGAAAACATCAAAAAAGCTACTAAAACGTGTACAAACAAGCGGCACGCCACCGATAGGTCTACAGAGTGTGAAGTTTCACGGTGGACTACATTTTGTCCAACAGATGGTTTTATCTCTTTCCATACGTTAATTGTTTACTTCGGAGGAGCAAGCGCGTGTGTCTTCATGGTTCATAGGCATTACAAACACATACACACGACAGTAAATGTAAAGACAACATCAAATATGCACACGCGTACTAGTGTTTTTTAATGATATTCAACGTACTCTTTTTACGTCTTAAAGTATAACGAATTCACCAAATGTCGTTCACAGTTGGTGAAATAACTAATTCACTTTTTTTTCAATATTAGGTCCGTTGAGTTTCTCGAAGAACAAACTGGCCATGTTTTCTTTTTTTAACCATTCAGTATTATTTGTTTTTTTTTTCCAAAGAATCATTAAAAAAAAATCCATAACGAACATACCTATTTTGAATAGGACTAAAATTAACTGCAATGGCGCGGCGTTGGCCACAATAAAGTCAAAACTAGTTATGTTTGCGAGAGAAAGAAACACGAGGCGTTACTAGAATGAAATAACGGATATCGACAATTATCCTTTGAGCGGATAAAAGTCGTTTAAAAAAGGGAAAAAAATATAGTTGCCCATTCAGCTCAAGGTTTTTCTCTGCCGTGTTTTTTTTTCTAATTAGAATTAAGATTT